TATTTATACACTCCTCGGAAGTTCTATCTGTTCACATTTCTGCACCAAAATACGTTTACAGCTATTATATTATAGGACACGTCAGTAAGAGGGAAACGGCACGATTTAATAATATTAAGAAGACTTAATGAAATGCTGGTAAACTGGGATTTTGTTTTAATCTTTGCCGAGCAGGACAACTTAAAAATCAGAGACAAAGGAGGAAAACATGCTAAATGCTCACACTGAGCCATGCTGTCCAAGGTCAGTTACAAACAGGAATATAAGGTCTTCAATACTGCATCAGCCTATACAAGTAAAAATGTAACTGTTTTCATTATTGATTTATTGATCGATCTGTTTCTGTGCGTGGCTAGACTGCGCAATGGGAATTATTGGTGGTTGTTAAACTTCTATCAATCGCCTTTTACTTAATTATCTTATAATTTGTATTTATGACTCGTGTGTGCGCGCGCAGCCGGAAGCGTTGCAGGTGTCGTGTCGTTGCAGCTGAGCAGTTCACTCACGAGCTGTTAGACTCGTCTATCTGATGTTTGACGCCATCAAACGGCCGCTTCGCTTTCCGTTAAACGTCTCTACCTTCGCCCAGGGGTGTCCAACTCCAGGCCTCGAGTTCCGGTGTCCTGCAAGTTTCAGATGTGTCCTTGATCCACTACAGCTGATTTAAATTACCAAATGAGCTTCTCAACAGGTCTTGAATTTCTTCAGAGGCCTGGTAATGAACTAATCGTTTGATTCAGGTGTGTTGACCCAGAGTGAGATCTAAAACCTGCAGGACACCGGCACTCGAGGCCTGGAGTTGGACACCCCTGCCTGCGCCGGAGGCTGCGAGGTGTTCAGACAGACAGGTGAGGAGATGTCCGCAGTCAGGGAGGTGACAAAGTTAGGCTGAGCCACAGACACACGGCAGTGAGACTCGTGATTAAAAACCTGCACGAGTTACATCCTTAACTATCCACAAACATTAGTGATTAATGACCATCGTAGATTAAAACGCTTAATGAGGACTATTGCAAACAATGTGCTTTTATTTTTTATGGTGTTTATTTTCATTAAAGTTTGTAGAGTTGATGTGGAGGTTAAATAAAAGCAGCTGTTTGAATCTCTCTAATTGTCTGTGATGATGTTGACGTGGTTTTTGTTTTGTCCTTTATTACTTCCATTATAAATCTCAACTTCTTCCTTTATGGAAGAAAGTTTATTTTTATGATGCTTTTTCTGGTTTCAGTTCATATATATTAATCTGTGTTACTTCTGGTCTGTGATATTTAATTGAGTGAAATAAAACGTATCAAATGCAACTGTGTGAAATAAAGAGGAATCCCGTTCATCATAATGATGACATCTACTGTTTGCTGATAACTCGTATAAATGAAGTCATCTCGTTTCAGAGGCTGAAATTTACTGAGCCACAGGAACAGCTTCAGAAACTGATTCAGGACTTTGAGCATATCGTTTCTTTATCTGGCTTCTCTTAGTCTAATATCACCAATCACATGAAACTGGTTATGAAATTGATTAGTCGTAAGTAACCCACAGCGCCTACACACTGTCACATGACCCACATCAGCTGGCGCGAGGTCCCTCTCCTGATTCGCTGCGTCCCCGCCGCGGCAAAGATGCCTTGAGTTCGGCTGCGCTGTCTGTTATTTAACTGCCTTCCTTCGTGCAGTTTCCGTATTTGTTTGAAGTGTACAGATGAAGCTATGAATGAAATGTTGTACTGTTGTGAAATGTGACAATGCAATGATCAGATTCACGCTACAGAAGTGTGGAATCATTGAATTTTAAACTGAATTCAAATCGAAATGGACATTTTCTGTCCCTGCAGGTCAGATGTGTTTGTTGTTGTGCTTCTTCATATTCACCCCCCCCCCCCCTCCCCCCTTTCATCCTGTCTTTGGATTACGGACGTATTTTTTTCCCGTCGTGAAACTGAACCCTAAAGGGGAACTCCTGAAAACTGACCTTCAAAAGGAAATGAATGGATTCTCAACACAGGCTTTTAAAAGTCTTTTGCACAGCGATTGCAAGCAGTGAAATTAATTGTGGTACATGCATTTATCCATGTTGTGTTTTGTATTTATTTTGTTCCACTTCCCCTTTTTCCTAATTTGTTCAATATATTTTTGGTTTTCTTTGACAGATTTTCAGTGTCTGGTCTCATCATTCACACCACCTGGGCTCCATTCTGTGCATCAGTTACATCCACCCGCTGCATATATAGCTGGACTGGTGCTTTTTCGTTTTTATGGGCCGATGTTTTGTTGTTTGTTTGTTTAGGGGTCTTTTTTGTAACGGCATAAACAATGAAAGGTGGTGGATTGGCTAATTGGTCGTGATCGACTCTGGGCTGGATAGATTACAGCCGATGAGGTCGAACTTTGAAGTTTCGCATTGAGCTGAAAAGGAACAGTTTGTCCCGGACTTCAGCTGGAATAGAAAAAGACACAAAGCTGCAGTTGCGCTGCAGCTGCCTCCTCTCCTCTCATCCTCCCCCCTCTCTCTCCTGTTTCTACTTCAATCATGAAACTGATCAATGATCAGCTGATCGGCTTTTCTCTCTTGTTTGTTTATCGCCCACTTTGCGCCAGAAAGAGGAAACCAGCTGATGTTGCGCTAAACAACAGCATTAAGCTTGATCAGCTGTTGTTAGAATTGATTTAATATTAATTTCTAGTATCAGCTGATGTTTGCTGGAGCCACAGCTGTAAAGCTGCTGGTCATGATGTCATGCGCAAAAAATGTTTTGTCTCACTCTCATTTCTTCTTGTTGCGTGTTTAAGCTCTACTTGGAACCTTGTTAAGATCAAACCATGCAAAATATGATCTATTTATTAATGTTTTGTTGCCATTTTTCAAGTGGTCTTTAATGTTTGATCAGGACTGAATCAAATTTGATGTGTAACAGCGCCATGTTGTGGCCAAAGAGAGTAGAAAAGAACTACCATTGATGATCAGGTGAAACAGAAGTTAAAGACAGTAGTTATGGACACTAAAAATGAATTAAGCATTTGTTTTATTATCACGATGGTCAAAGGGGAAGAAGAGTGAGCTATCAGCTGGGCAGTGGTGGATAAAATTTGGCCAGTTTAACCCAAAGCCCACAACACAAACGCACATACCTGTAAGAATGACACAAACAAACCTAAACAACTGTGCAAAACGGCAGCAATAAAAAGGTCAAACAAATACATTTGACACAAACCTGTAAATAAATAAAATCTGTAAAATATATACATCTTTTAGGCTTTTCCAGAAAGTTAAAAAATAAAAGAAGTGTTGGCTTAAAATAGGCTGGTTGCCAATAAGTGTTATGAAACTGAGTTCAGATTCACTCTGCAGAGGCGACAGATGTGTCACAGTCCAAACACACCACAGTGTGAGTCCGAAGAAGCTTTTCTCTGAGTCAACGCTGCGTCTGAGGTTGTAAGTGAGTAATTATATATCAGAAATAATAATAGATTTAAAAACAGCAACAACAACAAAACCCACTAGTATGTATTGTAAGTGTCACCTGGCAGTTCGCTGCTCTCTGCCAGGTGATTGGCAGAGTGGGTGCGTGGGGTGAGGTCGGCGCTCTTCTGTGGAAAAACCCAGAGGCGATTAACGCGAGTGGGTGTATTGTTCGGTGAGAGACTTTTGCCATTTCGTTTGGATCATTTATTATTGTAGGTGCCGATTTTTAATGCGTGTTGTTGGACTTCTTTAGTGTGACCACGAGTTTTAATGGAGGAATTGATCGACCGCGCGCAGGGAAACCGATCGTTGGTATATTTGTTTGTTTTAGTTCTGTGATTTTTGAATGGTTTAATAAAACGGATATTTTATTTGGTAACATTTTAAACCATAATGTTGTTTTTCAGCTGTTGTTGTGCTGCTTCTGTCCTTTTGTCGTTCTTTTCATTGATTTGTAATTTTGTTTTGGTCCGTGCAGCCGTAAAGGCGGTTAATGCTTGAGACGGAGCCGTGTGAGGACTAACCTCTCTTTTTGTTTGTGCCACTTCCTTTAACATCAACACATAGCGCTGATTCCCAGCTGTGCTGAGACCTGGATTGTTTGCAGTCTCATGTGCAGCGGGGATATCAGCAGGATGTGTTGTAAGTGCCGTCTGGAAATAACTGGGAAAACTATGTTTAATTAATGTAACAAATTATCAGTTTATTTCTTTGCCCCTTTTATTCGGTACCTTTGTCCTCGGTTACAGTATTTTTCCCTCATGCGCGGTATTTCCACAGAGGTGGAGCCGCGCATGGACTCAGACTGACTGGACGCAACATTGAGCAGTTGCACCCTCTTGTGGCTCAAGTTGGTATTACATGAAAGTGCCCTTCCAACGCAATGAATTCGCTTCAAATCTCAAAAAGCCAAATCTGATGAGCTGCAATCTCACTCACACTGAGCACCTTTAAACATATGTTGGTATAATATGACATGCCAGCATGTTTTTGCACTCTTACACCTCTGAGTTAAATTTATTTTCTAATTAGTAATTTTATTTGACTTTTTTTAGTTTCAGTTAATTTCTAGAGTGGATTTTATTTGAAACTGTTTAGTTTTACTTCAGTTTTTATTAGTTCCAGTCTCTGTGATTATTACTGTAAGGAGGGCATATATCAGAGGCAAAATAAGGAAAACCAGTGCAGGTATTATACTATGCTACAATATTCAAAATACTTTATTTTAGTTACTTTTAGTAGTAGTAGTTTTTATTTAACTATAATAACCAGGCTCTGATATTAACATAAACGTCCTTACATCACAGGACAGGAAGCTGCCCGAGGACCTTCAGGCTTTAAAATTTGAGTCTGAACTTAAGTGAAAGTTGTTGGGTCATGGGATGGTTCAGCACAAAGACAGTTACATCTGCAAACTCAGAGATGAGTATTGGAAGCGATTTGTGACAGAAGGACAGCAGCAAGAGTGAAGGGGAAGTCATTTAGTAATGAAACAGGAAACGGCTTACCTCAATTATATGGATAAGATCAAGACAGACAACTGGTGCTTAAGCAGATTTCTTTACTGAAACGAACACATGACTTTTTACAAAATGTTTCGATGATAATCTGGAAGTATTTTCATATTTTCCTTCAAGAGGAGACGACGAGAGTGGACCGGTCTCTCCTGTGTCGACAGGTAACATCTTAAAATGACATTTACACAGAACAGCTTTTACAAAACAACAACAAAATAGAATTGAAAGAAAATCCCGTCCCCACTCGCTCTCGTAAAACTCTTTTGATAGTTTCTGAATGAAACAAATTCATTCTGCACCGGCCTGATGGAGACGGACTCTGTGACGCCCGAGGCTCGGCCGGGAGGAGGAGGGGAGCACACAATCCATAAGACATCTTATAAATGTACAATTAACATTCTTAAACATTAACAAATTTAGCACACAGCTGTTCAAATGTCCTCGCAAATTTAAATAAAAGTGCAAAGCACAGTTTTCAGTAGGAGAGAGAGGAAACAAAGCGCATTAAAAATCCAAATGGACTCTTTAAAATTCATCTCTATAGTGTAGAAAAAATAGAACATACATCGGCAACCTCGACGGCTGCAGGGTCACTGCAGACTCTTATTAACGCAGAGGCTGCTTTCTCAAAGCACCTTTAATAAATAGGCAGGTAAAAACATGAAAAAGCGAATTTCAGTTCTGCTAAATGTGAAGGAATGCAGTTAATGACAAGGAGGCAATTTCAGTGAGTTAGATGGCACCGCTCCCAAAGAGAAATAGGTCATCAGTTTCTGTATCCCTGCAGCCGGGAATGCTGGGAAAAGTTACAAGGAGATTCTTTCAAACAGCATCAAAGTAAAATCCTCTGAACTCTGAAATATTACACTTATTAGTCTTTTCCACATACAAACTTTACGTGGTCGTGTTGCTCAAGTATATTTATTGACAAATTTAAGCATTGAATTTATTTTCTTGCCACATGTACTGGGACAGTCCTCTCGCCCTTATAAGAAGTTCAGCTGCTACCGTTCATCTTGCTTTCCCTTCCTGACGCCTTCACAGGTCCTTGTTGTACTAAATATCAGTGCGCTGCTCCTCCACAGAGGATGTCACCCTGCTGACAGACTCCAGCTTTGCTGTTGGACTGCAGCTGCTGACGACCTACTGCAAGCTGAAGGGACACCAGAACCAGTAGAAGGTGTGCTGGTTCATGTGCCACTACATCAAGCTCACTGAGGATGTTAGAGCTGAACGAGGACTACCAGCTGCAGTCCAATGAAACCAAAGTCTACCCACAGGAAGAGGCTCTTTGGAGAATCAACAGACTTCACTGATATGTTATTTATTTGTCCCCCAGTACTTGTAGTGGAAAACGTTTAGTTTACTGCTGTTACTGAACTCGAAACGCCATAAAAATGCTCACTGTGTCTAAAACCCGTCAGATTAGGAGTCGTCTGATCAGAGTAGAAATACAGGTTATTGACAGATTTAAGGCAAAGTTTTTGTTGGTACTGATTAAGTCTCGGTACAGAAACTCGGGCGTTCCAGCTGCACTACAGATAAACACTGAGGTTGCTGTTTAAAAGAATCTCCTTGTAACAAGATCACCTGACAAAGAGGTGATCAGAGTGTCGTTGGACTGAACACCAGTCCAGATGTGCTGGAAGGTTTGCCAGTGAGAGTAACTGTGTAACCTGCACTGTGGCTTAATAGACTCCTGTTTCTATTGGGTTAAAGGGGGGTTGGGGATTTTTCCAAATGTCATTATTGGGAAATTTAATTCTCCAACTCTGCAAATCATTTACATCTGTGGATGCCAAATGGAAGAAGATCAACCGATTGGCTAGTTTAGCTTGTTAACGAGTGATGAATTACATTATGCAACAATGTAGCCCCGAGTAAGAAATCTGGCGGTCAGCGAGGTCTGATCACCTGCTTGTTAAAGTGAACATTTGCCTCGGTTCAGGCTTCTGTCACAGACGTCACAGATCAACAGTTTCTCTAAACCTTTAAAAATACCATCAGGACAGCTTGAAGAACCTTCTAAGGTTGGGAACTGTCCCGACTCTTCAACGTCACTCCTGCATCTTTGAAACGTATTTAAGGAAACAAATGGTTTCCTCTGACCACAATCTGTGGTAGTACATGAGCCTCACCAGCTGGAAGTCTGATGGTTTGTGGCAAATTTGCACATTCTTATGAAGTTGATCCACTTTTAGTGAAGTAGGGGGTGCCGTTCATTCTGTAACACTGTGGCGCTGCTGCGTGCAAGCAAGTTGTGTTCAATTAGATTAGCGTGGCAGTATTTCAGTCTAACCTCCTCAAAGTTTGAAACCCGGCAAGTTTCAGGGGTAAAGTTTTTAAAAGCTCAATCAGTTAACCAACTGATCCTTTGAGTAACTGGTAGAAGAAGAATAAAGTTAATTCAGCTCTTCGATCCGACTCCTTAAATAATTAACTGTAAACGTTAAGATGTTTGATGTCTCTGCGTTTCCACTGCTGCAGCTAACAGCAGGTGTGAGCCGTCAGCTGACTCTGAAAATACAATCGTTTTGCAATAGTTTCAACTCTAAACACAAAAACCCTGAAAGAAGCTGCTGCTGTCAGCAAAAATGGAAGATTTCTGCACTTAATGTTAAACATCTCCATAAAAGTCTGTCTGTGATGCTCGTTCTCAGTGTGAGCAGGAAGTGCTCAGCCTCCCCCCTCAGAAGCTGCCTGCCTTACTGCTGTGGCCCTGGCTTCAGTGACGCTACCACATATTTAAGAACCAGTAACTGGGGAAATATTTCTGTGAAGGAAATCGTGGCGTGCACATATAGCACCAGCCCCTTCCACACGCCTTCCTTCAGTAAGTCCAACTGTTGGAACAGTTGAGTGTTTTGGTTTTTCTCTACTGTAGAGAAGAGAACTGGACCAGTGGCAAACACAGGATCTGCAGTCAGGCGTGTTTGTTCCTGTGCTACAACAGTCGAGTGTAGGGTAGTAAATCATCAAGTGAAATCTAAGAGTGAACATTTTGGACAATGCTGGTCGTTCTAACGAACTCAGACAGTCAGAAACTGTAAATCCGAGCGTATAAAAAGTTGCGGACCTGTTACTTGCCGGGCTCAGTGTATCACAGGCACTAATGGTAAAGGACAAAATGAAATAAAGCTGAGTTTGCTTTAAGCTTAGATCAACACTAAGGAGACTGAAATGTTTAGAGCAGATTCAAAACCTCATTTTTTTTAAATTGACATCTTTGTGTCAAAATGCTACTTGACTGATGTAATGCTTTTTGTTGTATTGCTTCCTTCTGATGCGTGCTGCCGGGCGTGGATTCAGCCCGTCTGTGGACTTGCGTGGAAAAAACTGAATGAAACAATACTGCAGTTTCCTCGACTTACAGACAGGAGAGGAAAAAAGAGAACAGTCCAAAGCGGGTCCTGAAGGAAGTCATCTGGAGCTACACTCTCTCTGCGGCTAGCTGCTAAGTTAAGGTACAGTGAGCACAGTTCAGTCTGTCAGTGCTGCTGGTGAGTGGGTGGGCAGACAGGAAGTGGCCGTTACTCCATGATGGCTCTGTAGATCACAGGCTCGATGTAGTCCCCCCTGTAACGGGAGTTGATTACTCTCTGTCTCTTTGACTCCTGAATGATTTCCTTCTCCTCGAAGATCCCGTCGAACCTCATGTCCGATGCTTTCGACTGTAAAGAGATGGTACCGTCACTGAAAGTGCTTCTTCATTTTGATGAACTTCCAAGTAAACTGAAAGGAACACTGAATGGGACAGACGGGAGAACGTACCAGTCTGGTTTTAACTCTCTTGGGGAGTTCTTCATCCAGACTGTAGACATCATCTCTCTTGGCTGTTAGTTGTGATCCGTCCTCAAATTCCACCTGCAGTCCAGAAACATTGAGTCAGGACACAAACAGATAACAACATTCAGCTTGTTGAACGTCTTTGCAATCTGCTGCTGATTTACTAGAAGTTTCCAGAAGACGACTGAACTTTAAAGCCGAGCAGGTGACTCATTTTATGTGAAGCTGTGAAGCATTTTGATTTCTTACTACGCGTCCAACATACTCTGAAAATATTCCCCAATCAGAGGCATGAAGGAGATGTGCTCGCCAGCGAACGCAGCCTTCCTTACTGGAAGTCAGAAATGGTTCCCGCCTGCGTGCCCGTCTCTGCTGTTACACGCTGAAGAGTTTTTTCTTTACATGATTAAAAACTGGAGAAAGAAGACAAAAAAATCTTACCAGGTACATTTGAATGACGTGAGCTGCCACAAACTTGGCCCCGTACACCAGGCCGTCCGTCCATCTCACCTGAACCACCTCACCCTGCGGCGGTGGTCCAAGCTGAGCGCAGTCTCGGTTCTAACAGGCAAAAAACAAACCAAGTTCAAAGAAACGTGAAAGGAGGATAAATATCTGATGCAACCTGACATGAAATATGGCAGTGTCAGCTGTTCTGATGCTCGGGTCACGTGTGAAGCACTACATGATGTTTGGATTACTCCAGAGGCTTATAATCAGGAACTGCTGTGTAACATGACTGTGTGGTGGCTTTAAGGCGAGCACAGGTGGATGAAGTGTCTGCCTGCAGGGACAAGCTGTGAAAATATCCCAAATATAGTGCAGGGTTAAACCGCTGCCGTGTACTGCACTGAAACACACGCTGTGGATAACTCAGGGTGTCGACGTGCATTTACACGTCTGAACAAATGTCTGCTAAAAGAAAGCAAACACACGAGCGTCGCCTTTGACATCCAGCACAGTTTGCTTCATATTCATGGCTCATACCAGCTTCACAGTCTCACAACGAGTGCTTGTTGCTCCACAGGCTAACCAGGAGGCTGCCCAGCGTCTTCATCATCTTCATCATGACCACACCACTGTATTACACTGGCAACATTTCTGAATTTAAGGTTTTTTTACGTTAACTTCCTTTAAACAGTTTCAGCTTTGCCGGTTTTAAGCTAAAGCTGTTAGCTAATCTCTGCGACTCACTGTTTTGACGCTGGGATGTTACTGCCAACTAACTGCTGTGCAAAGTCGACATCTTGGCTTGTTTACAAGGATACACAATATATGGACACTGGGTCCCTTTGCCACATGAAACCAGCCTTTACAAACACCTGTGAACGAGCTAACGGCTCACTGGCTCTGAGCGCGGTACAGTAATGGGACGCCATCGCTGCAGCGAGTCAGGTTGTGAAGAGGGCGGCTCAGCCTCTCCACACCAGCAGGCAGCTTATTGGAGACAGCTGATCGACATTCCCTCACATTAAGTTTATTTAAATTCTGTGTGGTCTCCTTTATTAAAGAGACCACTCCCTGAGAGTATGTTTAACCACTTTGTGTTCTTTACAAAATGAAAAGATGTAGAAGGCAGTGGAACGTACCACGATGTCCTCGGGGAAAAGGTTATCGCTAAAAGAACCATCGTCAAAGTTGACCTCGTAGAACGTCTCTTTGGACAGCTGCACCACGTCACACTGGTAGTAGCGCCCATTCTTGTGCTTGCATATGACCTTCTGTCCCACGGTCAGCTCGTGCATGGCTGCCTTATTGCGCTGTCAAAGGGAAAAAAGTATTTTTATGCGTGCGACTGCAAACGGCTTCATAAATCTGATATTTGGGGAAGTTTGGGATATAAAATAACGTTCGTTTGTTTTTTACCTCAATCTGAGCGGGACCTTTGTGTCGACAGCAGGTAACGTGTACCACAAACGGCCATTCATCTGGCTGCATCAGCACCCCGGCGGCCTGCGCACAGGTGGGGTGATAGGCGGTGGGGCAGCGCCCGTGAGAGCACTGCACGCAACAGCCGGACGCCTTCTTCATCCGCTTCTTACAGTAGTAACATTTCTGTTTGAAGTGAAAGAAAATTATTTTTTATTAACAAAACTTCAAGCAACAAACTGCCCTCATACCAAGTACTAAATGTACCTGGTAACTCATCTCCAAGATCTTCCCTCTTCTTTCACACATTTCCATTTCAAACATATGAACAAACAGTTACGGCCACATCAGGGACACTGTCGTGTTACTAGAAGCTCCCCTGTACTTGGTATTTAACAGCAGGAACTGTCTGCAAGTACGCCATAAAATTAGTCCCCCCTAGTATCTTGGTTCACATAATATCCTAAAATCAGTAAATTGGTTGATAACAAAGCGACGCTGAGCAGGTGACATGAAAGCACTACTACCAACATACAGAGTTCATCTTATGTGCCATCATGTTAGGAGCTACACTGTCAGGAAATCTAAGATATTTTAACCGTAACACAGCTGTTTTTCTGCTATCTCGAACAACTGTACTGTATCTACCTGCATCATGACTGTGGGGGGGCGTGGTCTGCAGTGCCGCTGCAGGGGAGGCGGACGCACCTGAGCGGCATCCGCAGTCACACCTGGCCAGCTTAAAGTCTGTACTGGGTCCTGTCTGTTGTCAATGTTGTTAAGCTGGGCAGACACTGTGCGATTTTTTCAGTCGCGTTATTCAGCTCCTGCTCAAACTGCACGATTGACTCGCAGGGGTTAGAAGTTCATAGGTCACGACGCAGGTCTCACACTATACGGCCCGATGCTCTGATGCGACCTGAGTGCTCACACTGTGCGTCCATAACATGAAGGTTATAACAAAATCTGTCGCTCTCTCCCTCTCCGTCTTTCACTCACACAGACACACCACCATCAACTTTGCTAAATTGCTAATGAAAAACATGATCAGCTGTGACTGAGCAGCATGTAGATCCAACTATTTTCATGGTTGTTGTGGTCGTGATGATTTTGTGAGGCCACATTGAAAAGGCTCGGGTGAGCCATAGTTCTACAAGTTGTGCCTCCGTCGCTTGTGTCCAGATCACACGCTGCACTGCCGTGCTGCGCCGTCTTTTTCGCTGACATTTGTGTTTGCGCGTGCGCAGTGTGAGAAGCTGCGGTGACACCCTCACGACGGTCGCGACCAAGCGATTGATGATCGGGAGCTGGTCGTGAGGTGTTAATCGCGTCTCGTTACCCACACGTATACTACACGACGCACGATGAAGGCCAAAATCGGGCCGATCACCAAAACGGTCGCACGACTCAAAAATGGGCTCAAAATGGGCCAAAAATCGCAGAGTGTGAGCCCAGCATTAGTGTGTGTGGCTGCAAAGCTGCAGCCATCTGTGTGTCACAGCAACCGTGCAAATAAAAGTAAATGCTGAAAAGCATGAATGTGTGGGCAGGTCTGCTGTGGGTCGTTTACAGGGGTGCCAAAACTCAGGATGGGGCCACGCCCGACCCAGTACTGGGCCAGCCAGGAGAGGAGCTGGCCCAAATGGGGACCACGTGGAGGGAGCAGGTGGCAACAATGGGAAGAACTGCAGCTTAGACTGGAGATTTCAGCTTCTCTCTCTGTTCGTGACAATTATTTGTACGTGCTGGTATCTTTGTTTTGTTCACGTTGTTCGTTTGGAGGCCGCACTTTCACTCTAATTAGCAGCTTTCAGACTCGAATTTCCTTCTTCATAAAAATGTGAACTTACCAGTTTGAATCTCTGCAGTGGGATCCCACTCAAGTCCACAGGACTTCTTTCTGTGATGTTGACAAAGCGTGCCTCCAGCACAGCAACCGCACACAGCACGTGTACCCACCTGCAACACACAAACACACCCCCACAAAGAGGTCACACCCGACCACAGGCAGCAGCAGTTTGATGTTGTTTGTTTTCTTCATCTGTTTTTATGGTTCTAATTATCCAAGCAAAGATACAGCAAAATGAATCAGATGGCAGGGGAGTCAATTTTGTGCGCATCATCACACAAAACAATGAAGTCAAGCCCATTACTGAATCACACCCACGTTTCCCCACTTACACTTTACTTGCAGGCCGTCTAGATATAATAAGGGCCTCCAGGCACCAAGATAGCAACTCATTTTAACATTTTAATGTTTTCTTTTTTAAAATAACCGTCTCACAGACTGACAAAATCCCCACCTGATTTACTCAAGAATAATCCCCTTGAATTTATCTTTCAGTTCCTGCTAACATGCACGCTCTTATCCTTCCAATTTCATGATTTCCTACCACCTGGCTTCTTGGCCAGGCCCTGAATTATATTCAACTTCTTGCGGAGACAGAGATCTCATGTGGCTGGTAAAAGCTACCTGACAGAAAGAGAGGAAAATAAAACAAGAGGATTTCTGTCTCTAAGAACAGAATTTAATCTCGAGATGCACCACATGATCAGATGTGCTCACTCACTAATGTATCTTAGATGACTTACTTGTTATTGTTGGCTTTCTGCAAAGCTCCGCCCCTCAATGAACACAGGCAGCAATTCTACAAAAAAAAAAAAAAAAGAGCGAGATGATCAAAACAGAACATTTGGTAGCTAACATCTAAATATGGATTTAATAAATCAATGTTTAAGGACCAACATCTATGATGTGGTTGGAGATGTCAAACACAATGTGTCTGATCTAAAAGTTTATTCAAACACGTGGGAGGTAAAATTAGGGACCCAATGGATCTGTTTAAGGTCCTCACTGTCACATTACAGCTTAAGTATTCGTCTTTTACATATTAATGAACATCTGTTACAGTCAAGTCACGTTAAGTTCACACAGTTGTGATGAAGTCAGCCTGCAGCAGTTTCAGGTTCTGTCACAGCAGAGCTCAAGAAAAGGTGCAAACCTGAAAACGACTGCACACACACTTCTTCCTCTCCGCGATGAATTTTTGAAACACTGAATTTATTTTCTAAACTGTGATGAACGAGGCAGTTAATTCAGTGTTTAATCACATGATCAAACATGACAACCACACATGTAGGCAGAAATATTTCAATCCTGATGAATAAACAACAAATACTCCATCTCCCTCTGTCTATATATCGTCCATGCCTGGGGACGGGACGGCAACGGGGAGCCAGGATGACGGGTTAGGGGGGAGATATCACCCCCCTGAAAGCAGTCAAGCTCATTGACTGCTTTATTTGTGTGTGTGTGTGTGTGTGTGTGTGTGTGTGTGTGTGTGTGTTGTATTCATAAATAGTAATTAGTAGCCTAATCCTTTCTTCATTCAGTAACCCTGCACTACCAAAGTGTTAGAGTATAAATCTAATGGACTCAAAGCAGTCTCTCCTTCGAGTCTCTATAATGTGTTTCATGCAGTGGTGCATATCAGTACATTATAATGATGTGAGCTAATTATAAACTGATGTAGCATTTAATGTATCTGATTGTTTTAGGCAAGTAATCTTTTGCTTGTAACTCCAACGGTATCAAATGATCCGTTTTTCTTCTCTCTGGTGTAGAAAACAGGTAACTGTAAAATCATCACATCTACTAAATTAATATAATTCAACACCCTTAAAAAAACACTACATGTTAATTAATTAATGTAATTCATGTTACACGTTAATGGTGCAAATAGTGATTGTGTAAAATATCTTTTCATGATTTGGAATGTGGGACTTGTGAAGAAGCAGGACGGACAGTTCCACTTTTAGAAGCCGTTAGGAAACAAATCCTTTGACTACCAACTGGATTCATGCTAACTTGCACGGCTCGATAAAGAGTAAAAACAGCCACAATTATTGGCTGACCTCAGTCATGGCGTTGGCCTTGCAGCGTGCACACTTCCACTCCTTGTTCACACTGGCTGGATCGACACCGTAACAGGCTGGAAGATAGAAATGCAAACTTTGAGACGTCAGTGAAACACTGAAGAACTATGAAAAGCTTTAATGATTCCATTTTTGTAGTAAAACACTTCTAATAACATGATTAATAACTGATGATATGATAAATGCTGTGTATGAAATGTCCTCTGTTTTGTTTGGCCTTTGCATCGGTTCAAACTCGTAATGAAATGATTACTCAGGAGCGTAAAAGACTTCATATTTATTTTGTTCTTTGAATTTAATTCCTCGTTGTTCTCTGGTCATTTTGATAAACTCTATTTTGAAACAAAAATTCTTCTTCTCGCTGAAACATCATTTGTGCGTATAGTGGTCACACTTAAAGACTCGTTTTAAAGCAGGAAAAGCCTCTGATGAAAACACTCACATGTCAAACAAGGCTAGGTTAGATATAAACTAACACTCCTACTTGAAGAGTGCGTGTGTGTGCAGGCGCACATGCGTGTACTGACATGCATGAACTCTCACGCTGCACTGTGAGCAGCTGATGAGGAGACTGGTTCCATCTTCTTCCAGACGAGGAGTGACCGGTTGCTCTTCACACTCAGCGTCGTCCTCTGTGGTGGTGGTGAAACACATCTCAGGAATCAGAGGTTTGGTTCGCATCCGCTCCCCGGCCACCACCACGTGCGTGTCGATGCTGTGCGCACACTCAGTCTGACAGCAGTCACAACAAACACAAACACATGTGGACTCTGTTAAGAGTTGCTGTTTGTCTCTCGAAACACACAATTTACTGCTTTCATCTTCAGCCGCAGAGGTTTAAATGCTCCGTAATCTTACGCGCCCTGATTAGCTGTCAAAAATACTATTTTTGGAGTCGCTCCATATTCAAGATCAATCAAACATCTAAGAAGCAAAACAGTCACACATTAAGGTACAGCGCTAATATTAGCAGACTGGAAACCAGTACTGAAGATGAGATGTTTGTAGGATGAAAGAAGGGAAAATAGTTGAGGAAAAAGGTAAATATAGATGATATGACACGACATTCAGTCTACGAATGGAACGTTTGAAGATTTCACAGATGACGGACTTTTGTTTAACATGGAAAATCTGGAGTCTGTTCAAGTTTGCACGAACAGCCATAAAGAGGATCAATGCCAAGTACGAGGGTTGGACTGCACGAACATATCAACGGCAGCCCTAATTTTGGGGGGAAATTAGTTCGTCCATGTTTGAACTTCTGTGTTGTAAACGGGCAAATCAGTCCGTGCATGATTACATTGCCCATCAAAAAGTCTGCGTGTGCGCGAATGTATCGCCCATCGTCGATTATTGGGCTGACGGGTGTCGGTGGGAAATCTTTACATATGGCCCGACACTACCAAGTACATTCATTGAATTCATGTAGATGCAGTCAGGGACAAACAGAGTCTGCAGCGTGTTGTGCGCTCTGCTGAGAAGGTGATTGGCTGCAGACTCCCATCTCTGCAGGACCTGTACACCTCCAGGACACTGCGGCGTGCAGCTCGGATCTCAGCTGACCCTTCTCACCCTGGACACAGTCTGTTTGACCTGCTCCCCTCAGGCAGGAGGCTCCGGTCCATTCACACCAGAACCTCTCGCCATAAGAACAGTTTCTTCCCCTCTGCTGTAGGACACATGAACAATAACCACATGACTGTCCCCGCCACTAACACATGACCCTACGCTGTGTCACTGCATCATTCCATGTTTGCACTGATCACCACCTGCACTCATGCACATATCTTTCTACGTAGCACTCTTAATTCTTATTCCTACTTTTATTTTTTCATGTCTATTTAAGTGCTATTTATGACACTATGTTTGCACTGAAGCACCGCAGCAATTTCCTAATGTTGTAAACCTGCTCAACATTTGGAATTAAACCCATTCTGATTCTGGTAAATGAAGTTGCCGTGAGGCTGGATTTACTCTGTGCTCTGATGTATCAGAAGATACAGTCTGGACCAATTAAAACAGTGTAAACTTCCCATGATGCAACTGTTCTCAAAAAAATCCCTTTTAGCAAACCTCACCTGGCTTGGCTTATCTCACCAAAGGACACTATATTACTTGCATGTTCAGATGCTGCGGGGGCTTGTACCATATCTGGTTTTGTCTCGGTGGACTGGTGAGGAGCAGGTCTGCTCTGCTGCGAATTACCTGGTGGTACGTGTGGAAGAGCAAACAGATGGAGCAGTATGGAGGCTTGGAGCCTATTCGCTGGTTGTACTCCCTCTCTTTCTTCAGGTTGGGTGGCCTGCTTTGCCACAGGTGAGTCAGAGGCTTGGCCCAGCCCTCACCCTCCACACCCCCTGCCTCCACTGGGGGCGGCTCTTCTGGAGTCTCTGAGGCACAAAAAGCAAAGACAACACATTTAGCTAAAACAGCATTAGGAATGACATTAGAGGCCTGGTTTGTTTAGTTTCACTAATCTAATTCTGTTACTGGCTTTGAAGTCAAAGGTGGCTTAATTACCTCTCAAATATAAACTACATGCAGATAATGGGACCTTAAAGTGTTCAGACACACCTTCATCACTCATGCCGTCTTTTATGAGTGGATGGTGTCCTGGAAGCTGCCCAAGGTCAGTCTCAAACTCTCGAACTCCTGCCATCGCTTTTGCCACCTGCTGGAGAGAAACAGCATTTTCAAAAGGCCACACAGCTAGTTTGAAGTTGATCATGTTTGCACCATATATGCATCATTCTCCTCCAGAGGCCTGCGCCTTCATCATTTTAGGGTGTTTTTATATTAATAATATCTGAGCATGAAAGTAAAAAAGGCTTACACACCACTAGATGACTAGACTGGGCTGCAGCAGAATTCTTAGTTAGCGATGGTATAGTTAAAGTAATGCAGTTATTCAATGTTCAAAGTCGTGGAAAGTAGCAAAGAGTGTTGATGGCTGCATGTATGCATCTGGACAAACACACGAACCAAAGACTGGAGAAAATGTTTAGAACAGTACAAAGATCACACATCTTGGAATGACAAGGCCAGAAAAGTGCAAAAACTACAGCAGTGGGTAACTTACAATGTTAAATACATGTCCACTCACTGCTTTGCCAACATGACAGTTGTCCTCCTCGGTTTCATGGTCGCTATCCTCACTCGTCTTCTCCTCTCTGGACAGCACTTCTCCGTCGCCGTAGTCTCCTTTGGCGTAGCTGTGGACGTGCAGGACGTCTGCGGGACTCAGCGTCCTCTGAAACACTTTGCTGCAGCTGTTGTCCAGTGGAGGCTCCTCGCTTCCAGCGATCTCCTCAGCGCCCAGAGAAACCACCTGGTTCTCAGTGGGCTCGGGAGGAAAGACCTCCATAGCCACCACGCAGTTCTTCTCTTTTTTCAGCGGACTTCGTCTGTTTGAAGTTTTCTTGGCATTGGCTTTGGACTGAGCTTTAGGCTGGGGTTTGGTCCCTTTCTCCTTCTTCACCTCCTTGACTTTCACTGTGTCTGAAAGAGATTCATTGAGATACACAGACTAGCACTTTGCCCCCAAACTTTTACAGGACATTGGTTCAGTGTGCCACAGAGTCTTTTTATAATCTTCACTTTATTTCACACATTCAACTTATTTTTACTTCCAATAGTGTTAACATGCTGCACAGGTCATCAACAAGATGTCTTTAAAATTTCATTGTAAGTGGGCTGAAGCAGTTAATTAAAAGTAGTTTAACATAAACGCTGTAATTTGATTCTTTTAATAAACTTGGATGCTGGCGTGAGCACAGTGCACGTCTGCTGTTGCTCACAGTGGTCCAAGTGTCGGCTCAGGGAGTTTGTGTGTTCGAGGGAACATTGGTGTGAAGTGTGAGGTACCTTTTTCTGCCTTGCTGGTCACTTTAGTTGGAGACTCCTTACGTGACAGCTTGGCCTTCTTTGGCTCCACCTCCACCTCCTTTGGCTCCACCTCCACCTCCTTTGGCTCCACCTCCACCACTGGCAGCTCAGGTTTGACATCTTCAGAGGCTTTGACAGCTTCAAGCTGACATTTAGTCCCAGTGTGAGGCTCTGGACTGATACGTGGGAGAGCAAATCGAAGACATGTTGGACAGGACTCAAAACTAAACCGTGTTTCTCAAAGACTGCCGAGAACAAACAAACAACTCCGAGTGAGGCTGACATGTGAGAGCAAAGCACAGAATCTGTCACAGCCGATGCTCAATCACTTCTGGCAGAGTCTAAAGAGATTTGTGTCAGTGCTGCTCCTCTGAGTGGAGACAGAACCACCTCTGTACTGGAAACAGTCTGAATCACTGCAATCTTTAAGCTGAGAACATCTGCAAATCTGCAGTGACTCAAATTTTCATCTTTATGGTGGATGCATGTTTTAATTCAACTAATTAGCTTTAGCTGATTATTGTTATTGTACTTAAAATTGGGTAAAGATTTTATGAGCATTTAACAATGATTTATTACGACCGGTTCACATCCGTATCAGAAAACTCCGTGAATATAGGAGCAGTGGGTTAGCAGTGACTATAAATCAGACCTTTTGTCCTCCTGGACAGCAGTGTTGGGCTCCTCGGATGGCACCTCAGCGGGACTCTCCTTTGAAGGTCCGATCTTTTTGTCTTCTTTCAGAAACTCGGCGGCCTCCGGCGTGGGCTTGGAGTGGTCGATGGGAGCGTTGTCTTTCCCTGCCTTCCACAGCTTGTAACGTTCAGGTTGAAACTTGCGTACAAATACGTCCATGGAGATCTTCACCATGTCCTGCCGGCATGAACACTGAGAGGAAAACACTCTTAACACACTACGAAGTTGATAAGAATTCACTTCACTATAAATAAACCAGCTGTGGAGTTATACTCAGTGCCGTTCAAACGTCGTTATGTACCAGCGTTGCTTGTTTGCCGTAATCGATCCATCGTTGAGTGGCAAAATTAGTTGACTCGGCGCAGTTGAAGCCGTGGTTGAAACCAGCGTGATAACCAAACGGGAACGTCACGATGAACTGCCCGGCCTCCTGAGTGACCTGAGTCGAGAACAACACAGATCAGTATAAGATGAATGTTTTATTTGATTTTTTCTGCTTATCTGTTCATCACCATTTAGTGTTGCATGTAAGACGATGCAAATTAAATAAAAGATTACCTTTTCAAATGGTATGCCATATTTTTTCAGGATGAATGGTGAAATTAAAGTCATCTTGTGGCGCAGGAAGGCTTCACAGCCCTGGACGTTACCTGGAAAGAAACCTGGAAACAGGATCTCATCAGCAGTGGTGCAGTTGGGCCTCTTTGGCTCTTTTTATTTAAATGGTTTAGTGTAAAACAGTTATGTGGGATATGTAAACATCACTGCCGTTACAGTCTCTGGGGTGCTTTCTGAGTGTACACTGGACTTCCCCTTTCATACGGCAGTGGTAAAATCTAGCTTCTTTCAGCTCAGGCAGCTGCAAAAATAAAGCCAATTCTTTTGCGGCAGCACTTTGAGACAGCGATCCACGCCTTTGTTAGCACTCGGCTGCATTACTGTAATGCACTTTATATTGGGGTCAGCGCATCATACATTACTCAAAATGCCGCAGCTTGTCTTTTAACTGGCACTCGAAAGTTTGAGCACATTTCCCCTGGTTTAGCTGCCGTTTCTTTTAGGATTCATTTTAAAATTCTTTTATTTACTTTTAAAGCTCTCCATGGCCTAGCTCCATCTTATCTCTCTGAGCTGCTACAGCCTCATACACCCACCCGCTCTCTCAGGTCAGCTGATCAGCTGCTCCTGCATGTACCCAGGACTGGGCGTAAACTTAGAGGAGATCGTGCTTTTGCTGTAGCAGCTCCAAACTGTGGAACGAGCTTCCTTTAGAGCTCAGACAGGCCACTTCTTTATCTGTTTTTAAGTCACTCTTGAAAACCCGCCTCTTTACCCTGACCTTTGACACCACGTGAGATGTTGGTTTTTATTTTTATTTCAGTTGTTTTTAGCTGATTCGATGCCGTTTTATCTTGTTTTTGTTTTAATTTGATGTTTTATGTGTTTTATTTATTTATTTTGCTGTTTTCTGTTTTAACTTATTTTCTGTACAGCACTTTGCTCCTGTGCTGGGTATTTTAAAGTGCTTTATAAATAAAATTGGATTGGATTCATACATCTACACATAATAAGCTGAAGTCACTTCAGGCATCGACTCTGTGATCAAGCAGCTTAAAGACAACAATAAGGGTTCTGTCACTTACCCTTGGCGAGCCTTTCCAGACGTTTCCCTTGCTCTGGTGGGACGACGTACCTAAGAAGTAACAAACGTACAGAAATACTGAAAAAGGTGATTGTGACGTTTACACCAGAGTCAAAAATGCTCCAATCGGTGGATGAGATCCCTGCTTCACTTTAAGTAATAACTACATGAACAGAAACAATAACTGAATGTTTTCAACAGTAAATAAACAAACAAAGACATTTTTAGAGGATTTTTCTAAACTGTTTTGTAAACTGGCTGCTTTGGCAAACAGACTTCTGCTAAATACAAAAACTAGATATGTGTTAATATTCATTCGTTCAAACAAAGGTGAGGTTTGTCAGTGGCCCTACCAGGACTTTGGCTCTCCAAAGTGCAGGTAGTTGATGCTATATAGATCCATGTCTTCTGTGTGCCACGCAAAGGCGCTCTTCCACATCCCAAAGTACAGGTAGGGCGTGTTGACACCCTTGATCTTGATGCCACTCTCATTCTCCACAATGTCCAGGATAGTGTTGAGACGACCAATGTTCCATTCAGTCACATCCTGCAGAGGAAGGATTCACACAGGCTGCAAGTCAGGACGACTAACCGTATGTGTGAAACTGATTTACCTTTAACTGATCAGGAAAACTAAGGAATGAAGAAAGATTTGTGAACATAAAAGTCTCTTTTTTTTAATCTATGAGAACAACTGCATCCCAGTTTATCAATTTAGTAGTGCAGCTAGTAACAAGCTAGCTCCAGTGTATAATATGTGGTTGTATTTTCCCATCAGTTTGCCTCAAGTTTATCCACACGTTCCTCCACAGATTCTCTCTTTCCATGAGAGATTACAATTCGTTGGACCCCAGCTGGGAACGGTAATCTTTCTGATCTTGGAGTGCCAGACTAGTCCGAATCTGCAACAGGTAGAGCTGCTTCATTTGCTCTGAGCTCACCGAGGCTGCAGAACAGAGACGGCAGTCAAGACACTGAACTTGAAGATATGCGCCGGAAGAGAGGTTCTCTGAGAGCCAGCTGATTCTATCGCTCAACGATTTATCACAAATACTCAGGTAATGACACTGGCACAGGAGGAATGTGTAAACTACATTTTTTAACAACCCCACCTGTCTACCACAAACAGAATTTAATACATTTAAGTTCCATGTATGCAGCCTATCACCACTCACTGGATCGTATAGCGTTCCACTGACATCAGCACCGTAAAGTGGAGGGTTAAAGGTCAGGTTCTTCCAAAACTTCCTCTCCAGCTCGTCAAAATCCACGTATCGTGGGCTGCAGAATCTACAGAGAGAGATATTCAGAGAAGACTGAGCAGAGGTCACAGTCGCTGAAACCCATTCATGCAAACTTTCTTTGAGTAAACTGACTTGTCCATGTTGGAGGTCTTGCGGAAATCATGGACAGTCATGGGCTTCTTTTGGATGTTGTACTGTGTGAATAGTCCTGACTGGCCGGTAACCACCTGCTGGATGGGAGCGGGAATCACCAGGTCATCGATATCATCATAAGTCTTTCTGGGTTTCCAGCCTTTAGGAGGAATAACCTGCAAGGAGCACAGATGAGAGAAACTCAGGGCAGCAGCAGAAGGAAATAGTGAATTTCTGGAATTAATATCACACTGAATTTCTCGCCCCTTTTACATATTATCATTGATATTATTATTATTTAAAATACATTTATCTTCCTGTCTTAAGTCTTTTTTTTTTTACATATTTTAACAATTGATGGAAATTGTGTAGACAGATACCGTTGTGTGTATGTAAAGATGACACAGGAAGTACGGCTATGAATCAGTGCACAAGTTATGTTATTTTAATGAGTGACTTTACAGGCACGTTAGCTTCAAACAATAGCACAGGAGTCTCAGACTCCTCTTACATCTGCCTCTTCAGAACATTTATATGGCAACACAAATGTTATAAGCGACTATTTAAAGTAACTAAAAGGATGATAAAACTCTGAATATGTCAACGTTGAACACGATCAGTTAACCTAACTTCCTGTTAGGTTCATGTTTTCACACTAAGAGCAAACTTTCAGATGTGATCCTCTAAACACTAATGAACAGGAAACGACTGGCTTCTGACTTTGTGCTTTGGTTCAAAAGTCTTTAACAGCTGTGGTACAAAGACATTCGCAGCGTTTCTCTGCTCTGCTAAACAAAAAGTGACAAAAAGACAGAAGCCACTTACTTTTGCCATCCCAGCTCTGTGCGCTCCTTGTGACTCCATAAAGGCAATGTAACGTCCAAAGTCCTTGAACTCCTCTTTGGAGGGGGTGAATGTCATCACCCTGCAGCCCACACTTTGGGCTGGCGTGTCTGTGGTCATCTTGGGAGTGTTATTGTGACCTCAACTCTGGAAAACATAAACACGATTATGTCTGTTTGCCTGACAGTTAAGCATACATTCAGACAATGCAGCACGCTTAGCATCAATGGAGCATCTGTGGGAGCATCCTGGGAGTAACTCAGTTTCTTTGTTGTGACTTGCCTTTAGCTGATGTTGCTCTTTATTATCGTTAGTTGCTGCACATTTTTTTATCATGTGCTCTACATTCATATACACACAAAGTGAAAATCTGCACAGCCTGTCAGTTAAGTACAGGAAACCATTCAAGCATCTTCTCTCATATATTCTAACTGATCTGCCGCAGTGATCACAAACACCACAATCAGTGACATTCACCAGATATCCACCATCCCCACAGGTTCACAGTTCCTCTTTTAAGTCTGTGACCACGTCTGAACCCCTCTGTGCCATTTAACAGACTTAACTGATCATCTCAAACACACTGCCAGGTGATAAAACCAGAACATCAATTTTTTAATACAAAACTTGAAAAACAAACAAACAAACAAAAAAATACTCTGTAACTTTGGAGCCAGTTTCACTTTTACATTACAAAGACTAATGTTATCTATGATAAAACCTAAAACCTTCTGAAATCAGCACACAGGAACAAGGCTGCTCAATTACAGCAAAAAACAATGATTTTGGTCAATTATTTACTGTGATAAGTCATTAATTTGTCAAATATCCAGTTTTTATGGCCTTTAAAAACATTTCTTTGTTTATAGATGATACCCTTTAACTTTAAAGAAAAGTCAATTAAAAAAACTACATAAATACATAAAAAAGTCAAGCTCACAGGGACTGATTGTTGCCTGACTAGTGGGTGTTTTGACCACAAAGGCCGTTTCGCAAGAGCAACTGTCAATACCTGCTGGCCCACAGCTTCCACAGTGGGATCTCTCTGGGTGCAGACGAGGCCTAAAAAAGGCCCAGACAGCAGCAGACTCACACACCTCAGGAGAGATGCTTGGTCTCCACACACAGAACTAAGTAGAGCTGAAGCTAACAACCAACCAAAATGCTTTCAAATATAAACACACACGAACATTAATGATGCTACAGATCCTTTCTGCAACTTTTACTTCTGAAAATATTGCGTTGACCTGAGGCTGTATCTGGTCTCATTTTACTACAAAGACAAAACAAAATCTTCAAATGAATATGAAAAAAAAGAGTAATCTTATCCTGATTAGCTTGTTTTCATAACTGTTAAAAGCCATAATCATAATTCAAATTAAAATCTCTACACAGGATGTAATAAACCACAACCTCATAGCAGTGCTGGGCACTACAGTTTCAACAAAGGCACCACGCCCACACCCAGTAACAATTCGCACTTTGCAGCATTTAAACTAGAAATAAATGCTTATTTGAGACTTCTCGTGATAATTAATTATATCAACAAACACAGTTTCGGACATATCACCAAGTTGAACTACCAAGCATCGCAGCAATAACTTCTGTGATTTTACATTATTGTCTGCTTGTGAACATTTTCCTAACTTCGTGAAAACTGAAAACCTCTCCTCAGTCAAAAGCACTCCCAGCAAAACATCCACCCAGACTGCGACCAGAACATAAACACACGGATCCCAAACACCATCTACAGCCTCGTTTCAGGTTTGTGAATTCAAAAAAAAAAAAAAAATTAACCAAGCCTCCACCTTTAGTAATAACACACAATAAACTATATTTGATTAGTTTATTCTTTAACAGAATAATAACGTAAACTCCCGAAGTAATTAGTTTAACTGAACAATGTGTATCACAAAAATCGATTTCCGATTACACACATACTCAACTTTTAGCTAAAGGCAACGCTGCACTCTGTCTTAACGGACTTTACTGGAAGACTCGGAGATCCTCTGTGATTGGACACAGTCCCGACTCAGTCTTATCTTCGGCATGTGATTGGCTCAGCAGAACGTCACTCACACGTGGTAGCCCACTTACAGCGCATCTCCTCGGAAAAATATTTAGCTAGTCCGCTAGCTAAAATGCTATCTGCAACATAGCTTGTTCTGCGACCCGAGAATTAAAAGTTAAGTCAACAAAAATCAAAAACACCCTAATGTTCAAAAGTAACCACTAAGTAGCCAACATTTACGGACAGCGCAGATCCTACCGTCAAAACTGGTAGAAGTTAATAGCAGAAGTGTGCTGCGGACTCGGAGATCTGACAGCTGCTAACCAACTAGCAAACATGGCTTGTTGCTCACCGTTAGTTTCTCATGCGCAAACTTAACAGTTATTTCTGCTCCCCTCAAAGTGAGCCGCTTCACAAGTGACAAACTTTAACTTACACACGCTGAAATGAAGGGGAGTTGTTTGCTCTCCGATTACAGGTAACAGAGTTGCAATACGGACAACATCAGTCCGGCTAGAAAAGACAGTCCTCCATTATTACAGTGACGCATGCCCAGTGTGTGTTTGTTTACACAGCGCATATGAAGGCGGGGCTACCATAATCTCCCAGCTAATCACAACGCCCTGTGTATCCAGACCACGCCTCCTGCTGTTCTGATTACGGACAGCTCAGCTGATGAAACACCTGTTTCCCATTCTGAGATATTAAAAGTAAGTTGAAGAGATTCTGATGTTTTATTTTAATGTCACGGTTGTGAGAGGCCAGCAGCTTTTTTTATGTTCATTTTTTCACGTTTTTATTGTGGATAAACCTTTGGCCTTTGATGGTAAACTGATGAGAACCAGATTGTGAGGCAAGAAGCCACTGGGTAGGCTTCCACTGCTCTGAGATCAGTTACAATCTGTGTTTTGTGTGGAAATACAACTAGCATTAGTAAGTAAATGAGCTTTGAGCTTTTACATCGTCCTGATCAAGATGCCTTGTGCCAACAGTTATAGACGACAGGTGGTTCCACCGACAAAAAGTACTTGCTGCTGGAGTAATCAAGGAGTCGCACAGTCTATATGCATCCCCAATTGCTGTAGCAAAGGGGGAAAATTGCATAATCAGGATGTATATTGATTACAGACCATTCTAAATAAGTACAAGAACCCATGATGCCTTAGACTCAGTGGTTGGATGCATCAGTGAGCTTGATGAGACAGTGTACCAGGCTGTGGTTGACTCCTTTAGCACGCGGTGTGAGGAGAATCACTTACAGCTCAATGTGATAAAGATCAAAGAATTGACTGTAGACTTCAGGACCAGGAAACCTGTGACCCCTGTTTCAATCCAGGGGTCGATGTGGACATCGTCGAGGACTATAAATACCTCGGAGTACACACGTTTAGTGAGAGACTGAGATTACACAAATGCACCACTGAACGACATAGGAAATCATTCCTGCCTGTGGCCATATCCATCTCCAACTCCTCTATCTAATGCACAGTACACAGTGTAATAGCTGCACCCTTTTGCACATCCTCCACAGTAAAATAACAAATAGCAAAGCTTTACAGGTTAATGTAAAATATCAATCATAAATATTTCACTTCTGTGATATTCTGTATATTTATAATTGAGTTATTTGTATATATTAGAGCTATTTCTTATATTTTGTTAACTTTTGAAATTTGTTCTCTTACTGTAGCCTTGCATGTAACACATAATTTATAAGTATAATACACAGTTGCGCACGGTGGTTAGCACTGTTGCCGCACAGCAAGAAGGTCCTGAGTTCAATTCCACCATCAGGCCGGGGTCTTTCTGTGTGGAGTTTGCATGTTCTCCCCGTGTTTGCGTGGGTTCCCTCCGGGTACTCCGGCTTCCTCCCACCGTCCAAAGACATGCAGCTTGTGGGGATAGGTTAATTGGATAATCCAAATTGCACTAGGTGTGAATGTGAGTGTGAATGGTTGTCTGTCCCTGTGTGTTAGCCCTGCGACAGACTGGCGACCTGTCCAGGGTGTACCCCGCCTCTCGCCCTATGACAGCTGGGATAGGCTCCAGCGCCCCCCGCGACCCTGAAAAGCAGAAGCGGATGGATGGATGGATGGGTGGATTAATAAAGTTTTCTGATTCAGATTTTCAGGAATATGATTTGAAGGTGTCCACTGACAAGTTCCAAGTTTGTAAAACTGTATCCAAGCACATTTGCTACATTGTGTCTGCCACCAGCCAAGAAAAATATAAGCAATAACTTAGTGGCTCCAGCCTACTGATCTTAAGACCCTATAATCCTTCTTGGGTTTCTGTATATGGCTGTTCCTTCTGAATTATCAGTGCTTTATTATCAGTTACTCAGTTTTTGTGCGAGTCTTGACAGATCTGACAAAATGCTGTCTTCCAGCACACCGAGGAAAGCAAACTCCAGCACATAGGACCATCTATTTTAAGAAATCAGAGCCTTTTGGACATCACACGTGGCCTACGTCCTGGCCTTTGCTGACCTGAAGTCCTATATACTGCATGTAAACTGTATCTTGATGCATGCTCAATCATCCAGGTAAGTAAATCCCCAAAGTTTGATTCTGTTCATTTGGATGTAGCGTTTTCAGTGGGAGAAACGTTTCGTCACCCATCCAACTCTATCAAGAATACCCAGAGAGGTTGCATTGAGCAGATGTTCTGGAACTCTGAAAGAAATGATCATCTTGAGTAAAATGGGCTGTGGTTGATAAATTCCACGTGGTGCTAAATTCACCACCTCATCAGGATGGGGTCCTGATCAACTTGGTGCATCACTCTCTGCTATTCCAGACCCCCATTGGGTGATACTCTAATGGCCCTGCTAAGTAAGCTGGATCTACAAAGGGACCAGGATGGATGACGCTATTGGAAGGGTGAAATCGGAAGTAACAGCCATTGCAGCCATCCAGTGTTATTCAGAGCAGTCATCCAGAGATTGCTTTTCTTCAGCATGAAGGAGGAAGTCTGCAGCTGTGGAATGGGCTACTGTGTAGGAAGACTGCCAAACCAAAACAGCCTTGTTAAAAGAAGGAAGTCAGGGTGCGATATCTCAGTACACGGGTGCCCAGAAAGCACTACATTTATGATGAATTTGTACTGTTTTGCTGTGTTTTTACTCCAGACATTCTAATGTAACAATGCAGAGAAGATAAAAAGTTCCACTGGAGAAACGCTTCTTTTCAGTCATTATTACTAAGTGACTGTAGGATTTCCTTTTATACACCTCCAGTACTTTTACTTTTGATGCTTTTGATGCTGTGCAAAATAAAGTTCTTATTGGGTAAAATTTAGACTACAGGAAATTTGCAGAAATGTCATTTTCATAAAGAAAATCCCCTAAATTTACTTTAATGAAGGTTTACTTCTATATTTTGTAAAATAAACAACACCAAACAGTCACACGAGGACAGCAAAGCACTGCATATTTGTTTCCCCTTGGTCCACCGGGTGTCACCTCACGTCACATTTTTATAAAAATTGAAAGAAGTCACTGCTTTTATATGAAAAACCCAACATTTCAACTTTATTAACATCAAGATTTTGAAGACATTTTTTCTCTGCTTTTAATAGAAAACAGATCGTTTATACAACAGTTAGGACCCCTACAGCACAACTATGAGAAATGAATCCTTTAAGTGGGCCGCATCATTCAAAAGCCACCTCACTGTATCTTTCAATGAAAAACGCAGAGATGCATCAATGAACAATGATGTTGTTCTCTGAGCCTGCAACACAGTGATAAAAGAGGTGAGTTATCTGTGGTGGCGATCCCGTTTAAATGCATCCTGTCAATGTAAAATCATGTATGCAGATGGAGATGCAAAGATGAGTGAATATGTGAGATATGACTGTCTTGTACTGTAGGATGTTGAGTCCATATTCAGTGTGCTTTACAACAACTGGGCTGTTTTTGTACAAACACAATGTGGAGAATCTTTGTGAAATGAGTATGAGCGTCAGAAACCAGGCTGCATGTCACAGCAGAGCTTTTCACATTGGTAACGGAGGGCCTATTTAGCTTATTTCTAGAAGCATTTCCCTGTTGTTGTTGTTGTTGTTGTTGCAGTTTTTTAAAAGTTTGTAGTCCACTACAGGAGCATTAAATGATTTACAATTAAAAAAAATCCTTATTTATCTCATATCCAGACACCAATAAATGTTTGGCCCACAGGAAACTTTCTATGAGCTGCATTTAGGCTTGGGTGATGTACCCGACTCAGGCTGAGTCTGCCTCCCTAAATTCAGCCACAGGTCCACCTTATTTGGACAAGATGCCAGCTGTTGTTGGACATTTGGGTCATATCTGGCCCACACAACACTCGTTTTAATGTTAAGCCCATCTCATGACTTTTATCCATGTCTGGTCCACACAGGATCTGCCAGTCATAAAACATGTGGCACATTTGTAGCCCCAGTAAGGCTCTTGGCATTTTAAGTTTGCCTCTTCAACAATCCCAAAGAGCCACATCAGGCCAGAGAGTGTGCTCTAGTTTCTTGTGGTCATGTGAAAAAGTAGCAGGCTAGCAAGCTGAACTTGGTAACGTGTACTGATTATTATAAAAGTCTATTTTAGCCTAAACCTCAACTTAAATGTCAAAACAAACTCCAATAGGTCTCAAACACAAGTCTCTTGTTAATAGTAATTTTTAACTATGCTGATTTCTGTTGCTGTGCAGAAACACTCTTCCTGTTGTCTTTTGAGCAACATGGCGCCATCACCACTGCTTACATGTCATTTTTTAAGCCATTTTAAAATTTCCAGATATCAGATCAATGCTTGATGTGACATTTTTTCTCCCTAAATTTAAAACATCCTCTAAAGCAAATTGAAGTCTACTAACTTTGTGTTATTTGAACGTTGCATAAAAATACCAGGCAGTTTAGTGCAAGGTGAAACAGGTTAGTTTGCAGCATTGTGGTGATGTTCACAGTAATGCATGATGTTGACTGTGCAGAGAAGCTGCAGTGGCCACAGTCTGTGCTGGTTTATATCAGAGATAGCAGAAATCAAATGAAATTTAAGGTGATTCACTCACTGAATTTCACCTTTATGCCAGCTTTGTAGTATCTGGGTTCATGTAACATCACCTGATATCGTTTTGAATTCAGTTGTGTAAATCCACAAAGAGCAGCGAGTACTGGCGTCGCAGCAGCAGCACATTTGAGCTGATCACAGCTAAGCAAAGAAAGTCTACCAGAGGTCCTGACTGTGTTTCCCTACACTGCAGTGTGTAACTTGTGCTGTTGGGTTTTTTATGGCATTTGCTGACAATAACAGAAATAAAGAGTGAAGTTAATCCTTCAAGGAGAAGCAACAAAACCAATCTGATTAAAATTCATCCCAGAATATTGTCTGTTGTTCATTTTCACGATCCCTTTTTTCGCTTCTATTTCCCCTCATTCCTCCAATGGACAGTTGTGTATGGCTGCTCCTTTCTGAGCCTGGCTCTGTGAGAGGTCTCTTCCTGTTAAAAGGTAGTTTTTTGTCCTCACTGTCACTAATGTTGCTCACAGAGGATCTTCTGATGTTGGGGTTTTATTCTTTTTTTTCTCCAGGTGTCAGAATTTCATTTTTTACGTGTGGAGCACGAGCTCTGCATTTGACGTCACACTTATTTCACAAAAACACTCATGAACAGGCCATCTGTGTTAGTCTACCTGAGTCCACAACTTTTCCAACTGCTTCATTATTCTTTTGCTGAAAGCCTCCAGATCTCCGAAGACTCTGAGAACATTATTTAATGACAAAAAACTCTGTACATGCTTGCAGTTCTTCAGATGTGATGAGTCTTTGCAAATTTATAGCTGTGATGTATTTCATACTGCAGGTCACAAACCTTATTTGCTCAGTTGATCTGTCTAGTAGAGATCATCACTCTCCAAGTTTCCCTCTAAATAAGACCAACCGAATAACGATAAACATTAGAATATCATATCTGTGGTATAAAATAAAAAAATCATTAGCAGCTGTGAATATACGGCGTCCAGTATTAATGACTTGGATCATGTTGAAAATACATGTCCTCTATTAAAAATTAAGAAAAATAAGAGAAGCAAATTAAGAAAAGACCCATTAAGACATATAGTAACCAATGTAAGTGATCACAAAATAAACTCTAATAATGGCTAACAACATAGTAATGATGGATATAAATGAAAGTAGCAGAAAAATAGTTTTTGCTATTTTGAGGAGGCAGAAATTGGGGAGTCGCAGGGATCAGAATGAGGCATGAGTACAGTACGAGTCTTTCAGGGTTGTTTTTTGGGAGGTTTTTGTGTGGGGTCTGTGGCAGAATCATGGCACCAGTCCAGGAGGGGGAGGTCATCACATCACCTCTCCTCTTTCCATTAATCTCTCCTGATTCCTGCTGTGGTCATCTCCTCATCAGTCCTCTTCAGAGCCTCCTCATCAGCCTGCAGGGGCCAATGGAGCAGAGTGGATGTGGCTCAGAAGAGACACAGATCTCCTCTGAGGGCTTCTTTCTGGGCAGGGTTATGTTGCATAGTGATCAAAGCTTCCCAGGTACTCCAGAGCAGCCCGGTAGCACAGCTGGTACTGATCCTAGAGACACAGAATAAGTTTTGATCAGCACGTAAGGAGGATTATAGCAGAGACAAAGTTGTACAGTAAAGTGGATTTATTTTCATTAGGAACTTCAGGTTTGCCGCTGCAGTGCAGCAGCAGTTTATAATGTAAATATGTCACAAACATAAATCCTGTTCTGAAGCTTCCAGCTGACCTTCTGTTGTTTTAAAAAATTGCCCCAAATACCCTGTTAACTATCCCGCTACACAACACTTATATGAACCAAGCCAACCAGCGGTGAGGTGAAACGTGATCATAAAAAGATTTGATTTGGATCAAACCAATTCATTGATAGATAGATTATACAATCGATAATCTTGTTTTCAACATGGTACAGTCGTGGTGACTTAAGTTTCATACTCACTAAGCGATGTGACGTTTGTGGTTTTAAACAGTTCCACAGTAACTGTGACCTCCACAAATCAGAGATCACAGACCTTTTACAGGAGCACCTGCCATTGTTTCACAATCCAAGTTTACTTTGGATGGATGCAATATTATGGCTCCTAATCAGAATGTGGATGGGATTCTTACTCTTCACTGTTGAGCTCTGTTTCACTCTAAATGGAGCAATTTATAAAATAAACATCATAATGTATTCACAAACTGAAACCTTAAACTCATTGACAAAGTTTTACTGGGTTGCTTTTGCGTTCAGTGGACTGCCCCCTGCTGGTCATGAGATATAATGCAGGTTTAAGGCAAAGTCACTTTTCATATCTGAAGGCTACATCAGAGACATTATAAGGTGGAGGTGTGGAACTAAAGCGGAACAGAAATCTATGGGAGAACTCTGTAAACTCTGCCCTAACAGACCCATTCAACAGATAAACCAGTAAACATCTGCGCTGTGCATTGTGGCACAGCTGACAGTTCTGTGTAGTTCTGTGCACTTCGTGATGTCGATCAACATGTTTGTTTATTGCTCTGACAGGAGGAGCCATAGAGACGTGGATTGTGTCTGCACAGATACTAATGAAGCCACAATGTTGTGTTGCTTTTTGAATTTGTAGCTAGAGATACAGCCAAGATGTGTTATTGTTTGGGGAGAATCAAAGAGATGTGTTATATTCTTTTATGTGCTGTTTATGACTGTGCCCTTGTGATGAACGCCCCTGCATCACACTGATACCTCTGTCTGCACCATAGCCGGTCTCTGAGTTCGGAGAGTCTTGACGGTCTGGAAGAGGTCGACCACTCCTTCATACCTCATCCTTTCCAGAACGATGCTCAGAGTAATAAACACACCAGTCCTCCCAACACCAGCACTGGTAAACATACATTAACATTATTATACTGAAATGTATCACTTAAAGCTTCTCGTGTCAGATTTTGACAACCAAACCGATTATACACGGTCAAACATACACACACTCTTAGTTACCTGCAATGAACAGTGATGGGTCCATCTTGTCCGAATTGCTCTTTAGTTTTATGCACTTGGCCAATGAAGTCAATGAATCCCTCCCCGGTTTTTGGCACTCCTTGCTCTGGCCAATCCGTGAACTGAAACTGCCTGATGGTCCTCGATTGACCATCCTGGTTAAAATGCAGGAAAATGGAAAGAAAAAAAAAGATAAATGGCTCACACAGAACGATCCCTGCCTCCCCCACCAGCTGGAAAGAGCGTACGAGTGATCTGCAGTCACATTCCTGCTGCTGCTAAAAGAGAACCTACCCGGGCATCAGTGACTTTGAACTCTCGGAGGATGTACTGAGGCATGTTGTACTCGGCCATCGGGTCCACAACAAAGTACTGGTAACGTGCAGAGCGCTCAGCAGGCCAGTACTGATGGCACTTTTCCTGAAAGATGGAGAGAAGATGATCGCGAAATGCATAACTGACTTGGAGTTTTAACACTGAGACCAAAATGCAACGATTAGGCCTCAGATTAGTGTGAAATGGGCAGTGGCTTCTGTTGCTGTCAGGCTGCTTTTGACCACCACGCTTTTTTGCTTCTGTGTAAGCACCCACAGCACAGCAAACAACTCCAGTGTCTGCTGATAAAGGAAATAAAAGCAGTGTGACACTTCAGCACCAGCTTCTTCGAGGACTTTGATAACACAGAGACTGGACAAAGGCTGATGTGGTGGAACAGGAGCATTCAGTTGAAAGCAGGTCATTGCTGAATTATAGCAAAATGTGAGTATCTGCATGTCCTTATGAATCATCAACACGGCTGTTTCTTGTAACATTTGAAAGTATATGACAATGAACTCTATGCATCGATGTTGTAACATACACAGAGCTGGAGAAATCCTGCATGACATCAGGCAGGCTGTAACGTCGAGCTCAGCTGATCTCACAGCTCGTCCATATCAGCTCAGCCCAGAACTATTTAAGCTGCCAGCCGCTTTGCAACCCACCTCCATGAGCAGCAAATCCATGTTGACATATAAAATCACTGCACATAGCAGCCTTTTGTTTTACTGTTTATTATAAGACTGCATATTTAATGGACCTGAGAGGTGTGATGATCAAATAATAGATTCATACCTAACTAAAAAGCAAAAACAGACAAAACAAGAAGTTACAATGACAAAAATAAAAAAATTAACTTAAATTTTACTGAATAAAAACACGTCTTTCTTCATTTAAGTAAAGCACTATATTTTCTGCATATTCAAATTGTATATTCCACTTTTATACGCACTGATCCAACCATCTTTAGAAACCCATTACTGGATGGTATTTAGGAGAATATTGAACTTTTTGTCAAAGACTTTAAATCCTTGACAAACTTTGTCTTTACCAGTAGTTGAAAAATATTTATCGTACAAAATCCCACAGCCAGATGTTTCAAGCAGAGCCTTATGTGTTACGTACAGATCATTATACTCTTTGAAGTGTCATTCTACTTTGTATTAACAGTAAATTCAGTGTATACGAGTTTTATTAAAACCAGATTTGGCAAAATGTAGAAACATTTCATGCTCCTTAAAAAAAAAGAAAGCATTTTTACTCATGTTAAAAATATACATGTGTGTATGCTCTGCCCTCCTTTTCCCTGCGGAGCCTTTAGCATCACTTTCATTCCAGATTTCTGCTTGATGTATAGAAACGATTCAGATCTTGCATTGTTTTCAGTGCAACGTGACATAAAAGAAGGTGAAGCTGTTTTGTATTACCCGTCCCATCTCTCGGAGTTTAGTGAGCATCACTACGATGGTGGAGTTGTGCTCCCACAGCATTCTCCAGAAGTCCTCTGTGGTCTCGGCTAACGGGCCCTGGGTGGCCATGTAGGCTTTCTGCTGCCTGCAAATGGAAACAGAGACACAGAGCCTGTGTTTACTCCTCTGGGCTGCAGCAGCTCTGCTGCTATTTGGCTTCAGTTTTCTTCCACTTCAGCTCTGCTTCAGAAAATCACTTTGGGTTTCTTTCTGTGAAGCAAAGTGACAGCAGTTAAATAATCTCACTGTTGCCCACTCATATTATCATGAAATGGACAGAAATCGAAAAGGTTTAGTTTGATCTGTCAAGGCTGCGAGTGAGTTCGTACATGTACAGTCCAATGAAAGCAAAGAAATATCTTTATTCTCATCTTCTTACCTGATTGTGATTCAGTAAAGCAAACCGTGTATGAGTTGCTTAGCCAGATAATCACCAGCTGCCCCGAACTAATTTTACCTGCTTTTTCATGTCAGTTAATGATCGACTCAGTGCTCCCAAAGAGATCTGTGATTTGGTTTTAGGAACTTGGGGGTCCGGGTATTTCGGGTGATGACCGACTTTGCCTGGCTGGTTCTGAGACACGTAAGCTGATAAATAATACCTTAGAAAACAAGAACTTGCTCCATTAAAATGTGCAATGGATCAAGTACATCTGCCTAAAATGCTCATTATGAATTACAGTCATGGTTTTTCACAATTCGTGACACTGCAAAAATAAAAGAGTTAATTTAGCTGCGGCTTCACCACATCCGGACAAGAGTTCTGGGCAATGACATCCCACAAGTGTTGAACGAACCTCTCAGGTGTTCAATATTTAATTTCACATACCCCTTTAAAGAAAATTTGATGAGTCAGCTGCTTGCTAATGTGTGCGCTGATTTTTAAATAGTTTTGCTTGAACACATAGCCTTTTTAACAGCTCTGTTAAAATGACAGATGCCACCCCAGCTGCTCCGCCGGCTCCAGGCGATCCTCTGCAGCTGGACACCACCAGGGGGCAGTGTTGACGCATATAACAGTGGGCCTAGGTAATTCCCACAGACTTGCATGCCTGGGTGTGTTTCTGTTATCTGTATATATCAGTGCTCTTGTGTGACACTGGTGGTTGGAGGCTTTGTTGTTTTTGGCTACATGTTTGTCCTCCTCTCACAAGCAGTGGAGCTAATATTTCAATACTCCATAATACAACAACCAAAACAAATATGGGAACGAACGCTGCTTATTTTGATGCTGTCACTTTACCTGCTGAGCGCTGCTGACTGACTGAAGCATTTAACCAGCAGCAGCTGGTTAAAGCCAGATTGTTGATGAGCGCCCAGAACAGTTTGAACCAAATGTTACTAAACTGTAGTAGCCCTAACCCTAACCCTCTAAAACAAAGCTCTGAATATTAGCATATATGCTAATATGCTAATATTCAGAGCTTTGTTTTAGAGACAAGGCTGGAGTTATTCTGCCTTTTTTTCTACTGCCAGCAGAAAATCAAAAGCCAACGTGTATTAGCCCGTCTCTAAGAACTCTCTGGATGTTCATGTTAAGCTGATGTCACTTAAGCCTCCTGGGATTGAATACAAAACTTTGGATGCTGCTTAAAATGTAAATAAAAACAGTGTGCAATCATTTGCAAGTTGGAAGCCTGAAAGCTCCACATTTCTATTCTTGGAGTAGAGTGGCTTTGCATGATTTGCAGTTCAAAATAATCCTTATTTACATTGTTATTGTTATCTTGGCTTAGCCCCCCTTTAAGGCAGCTTGTATCTAAATGGCTGACTAAGGCTTTAACAACATGTGGTGCAGCTTTTGTGACTATATTGATCTAAACATATGTATAATGTGTCGTGTTACAGGGATGATCTGATATCGTCGTGTTGGTGTTGATCCAGGATCAACATTGCAAGTGACCAATCACATTGTTCTGACGTTATTCTTTGGCGCACCAAGCCATTCGTGCATTTATGAAGTTCCAGTGTTGCAAGGACAATATCAGTTCTGCTCAGCGTTTATTAAAGGGTCAGGGTCCGTTGATCGGCGGACAGAGGCGGTTTCTTGCAGCTTAAGTACAGTTTTTTGTTTTACGGCGTTTTTTTCCGAAGTCGCAAAAGTATGACGTCACAACATTCTGATTGGTCCTGGAACAACATTCACTATGTTGATCTGGGAACAAGATCGTGCCATCATACAGAGCCAAGAGCAGAAAGGGTGCAGCAGAATATAGTCCTTATTTAATACACCATTAACCATGAATTATCGCATCCCTGTGCTGTGTGATGGGGCCATCAGCTTGCAGCACTGCTGAGGTATTATTATTACCAGGTTGTTTGGCTATCTGCCTTCAGCTTCTCTGTTTTTGTTTCTTTTCTAAGGTTGAGTATTTCTCATCTTCCTCACACCACAAACAAATGACGGGCTAATCAAGCACAGCAATAATTTGGTCAGCGAAGCATTTGGTAGTGATTTTGGCGCTGTGGGCAGGTGTCGGCTCCTGCTGGACAAAAGAAATTTCCATTTCCATAAAACTTGTCAGAAGATGGAAACATGAAGTGCTCTAAATACCCTGGTACAAGCTGTGTTCACTCTGGACGTGATAAAACACAGTGAAGCAAAAAGCACCAGCAGATGACGTGGCATCCCAAATCACCAAAGAAAAGCAGTAATGCAGTTTCAGTAATGCAGCCTCTGATTCAGGACTGTGATGGTGTAGCACTTTTCTTCAAGACACTTGTGTGTGACAGCTTTTAATGTTCCTCACTCTACTACTTATGAAGCGCTCCCAAATTCTTGACAATCCACAAAAATCGGTGGTCATCTGTCGCTTGGGTTTAATGATCTTTTCATGAATATACTCGCTGCAAACAGCCTTTTGAGCAATGACCTTCTGTGGCTTCCTTTCCTTGCAGAGGGGGTGTTGATGATCATCACCTGGACAACTTTCAAGTCAGCACACTTCCCTGTGGTTGTGTCTGCTGAACTAGACTGACAGATATGTGGTTCATATTATTTGAAAAGCAGCCGAAATATTTCAATAATTTGAGATACTAGACTTTTGAATTTCTTGAGCTACAAGCTATAATCATTAAAAGCCTTTGAAATACCTCAGTTTGTATGTAATCAGTATAGCATATGTGAAGGTTTATCTTTTTGAAATTATGAAAAAATATGAACCAGTTAAAATTCCACAAGAAGCAAGAGTTTCAGGCATACTCGCTGACAGAAACGAAAGCCAAATCAATAACCCAGAAAAGTTAATAGAATAGATTTTCCATTAATATTAGACAAATTAAAGCATTTCACAGTTAATAGTGAGAACCACAAAAGAGTTCTATCAAAAGTTAATTAAGCAGGAAGCAGATTTCACTGTTGTAACTTTTGAATCATGCAGAGTTAATAACATTGTGGTGTAAGCACTCGCTGCCTTTGTATCTCGCAGCGCAGTAAGTAGGAGAATAACTAATGGTGATACACAAAGACGTCACCGGGCATGTCCACTAATCATCATAATCATGTGCATTCCCCTCACCTTAATCTATCCTAATCCATGCTTCGCTCTTTAAAGGCTGAGCTCAGTGAGGGATGGAGCTCCCGAATCTCACTCCGCTCTTAATTACCGACACAGGAATTAGAGAGGAATTACACGACACCCCTGCCTCTTTCCGTTGCCTCCCTTTGGTGGGGGGTACTCAGGGGACTTCATTAGGTGCTGGGAGCCAAAAACAACATACACCCACCCTGCATGTAAAATGGGAAGTCCTGACTCATTAGCCACTGCTTTCTGTGGAAGTGCGCTAGAAAACTTTCAATAAGTCTTTTCATAAAAGAGCCCGTGATTAACGTGATGTGTGACAATATCGGTGCTAATGTTGTGAGAGACATGTGTACTGTTTATGAAATCACATTGTGACGTGTTGGGCTGAATGTGACTAAGAGTCTGAGGGACACTTTATGCTGCTAGGCTAATGTCAGCGTCACTCTGTTTATCGTGTTTCTGGACAAAGATTGGGGAAGAGATGTTAGAAAATAAACATCGTGTTGTATTCAGTTTGGTAACTGTTTACCAAGGCCGTGCATTGAGGGCACTCATCAATAACTTTGGAGTCATTTTCCAGCTGAAATCTATACAAACACAAGTTTTTTGCAGCCGACGACCTGCTGGCCATTTCAAAGAATTTAATATTCATCTGTGCTTATAATAAACAGCACTGTCTAAACATGCTTTCTACACCTGAAGTAAGGGGAGGTGACGGACTGTGATAGTGCTCAGTGAAGCATCTCGCAGCTGTAAGCTTACTGTAAACAGAAGACAATGTTAGCAGACTGAGGGCAGATTTGAATCATCACTCGCCGTCATAACTTTCAGAATAAAACCTGAGCAACAACATGAAAGTTTGTGAGTTGAATTTTAGCCCAAAGCTCAAGTGACCAACTTTGTATATCCTGAACCATATAATCATGCGATCATACGAGTTCTGGCTAAAGCTGTGGAGACGATCATGACTCGTGTTGTCACATGATCTTTTGGGCATCGTGCTACATCGTAGAGCTCCAAATGCAGACTACAGGAATAAGTAATATGAAGCATATAGACTGCATGTTCTTCAAATCAGCGTTACTTTGAATCTCAAATTCATGCATGCTTCTACTTTACTATGTTTTATTGCAATGTCAGTGTTTCCTTGATCCAAGAAGACAATAAAATCAACTTAACCTAAACTGTTTTCATTATGTTTTTGCACATAAATGTTGATAGAAATAAGAAAAGGACTGATCAGATTTCTGGCCTTCATACTGAGCTATGATCACACAGGCATTAAGCTGAGTGTCTCCTCAGTTCATTTCCCTTCTATAAAGGTAGAAAACCCTCAAGATTTCTTCATGTCCAAAGACAGAACATGGACACAGACGGCAGTCGCGTCGTGGACCTGTTGGTGTAATCAGTTCATTTCTCTGACATGTCACTGATCTCAAACAGCCTATCCATTCACAAGAGGTGGAAAAAGTGGGAGAATGAACAGGCCTGTCAATAAAACCAATTTGTTTTGACAACTGACACAACAAAGGGATGTGAGGCGGTGAAACACCGGACTCCATGTCAGCCTGTAATTTAATGCTGTCAGCTGCCACAGAGAAGGTCCAACCCCCGGCTCATTAGAGGTGCAGCAGCTGAGCAGAAATGCGCCGCACTACTTATTTCTGTGAAGTGATTTCTGTGGGCTCACCTGTACCCGTCGATGAAGCTGGCATTGATGTAGTCAGAGCCCTCCACCCCTCTGATTGGCTGCAGGCAGACGCGAGTAGACTCGAAAGGCATGATGTTCACCAGGCGGTTCTTGAATTTGTTGCACGGCAGGTTGGCACTGATGAATCTTGAGGTATGTGCTTTAGAGTTGGCCAGTTTCTGCAGAGACAGAAGAAAGGACAGGTGATTGCAGCTACACGGCAGCATCCACTGTCTATCATCTGCCTCTGGTCTTTATAGTGCTAATCCAGTGTGGCGCGTGAGCAAGGTTGTTAAAGGGCACGAGGAGCTAACGTTCGTACTGATGCACGAGAATGATGCACTTTGAGACGATCCTTTTTTTCTCTGACTTCAAATGAATGTCGGATACTGTTGTGTGTTGAAGCTCATCCTGAAGATGCTGAAAAGTCAAAACAAATCCTGAAACATTTAGTGTGAGCCGACAGGCCTGTGACAATGCAGATCAAACCAGAGAAATAAGATGTTTGGATGCAAACCTAGCTGCGTGAATGATTTCATTCTCAAATTTTTCTTTTCAGTTTCGGTGGGGAGGAGGTGTTTCTTTACCGACAGGCACTAATGTGAGACCTCTGCACTGCAAGGACAAGTGCCAACCTCAGAATTGCTTGACAAATACATTTGCAGTGAACTGAGGATCAAAACCTAATCATGCTCTGTTCAGATTTACAGCCACCCTGCTTGCATTAAAAAGCAGCATAATACTGAATGCTGGGCATTCCCCCTGCTGCAGGACAGAAACTGCTTAAGCCACTGCACTTTTGCTAAAGCAGTTGAAGACAGTGGATTGCTGCAGATCATCCCGTATAAAACTACCTAACCTGGGATGACCTTATCTCCCGGTTTTCCTGGCTCTTGCTCTCCCTCTGCAGCTCCCTCTACTCCAGCCTCACCAGGAGCTCAGAAGTTAAGCTTTAACAACTTCTCCTCTGAGAAGAAGGAAAATCTTCCTTCTGCCTTTGCTTGCACTTGAGTATTACATTTACATGAATTTGGAGAGACTGTACAAACCAGGCCATGATAGCTATACTTTTACTGACTGCAATGTTGTCATAAATGACTTTATGATTTAAAATCTACCTAAAGTAGGCTGGATGGATAGGAGTCTTGCAGATCCCCGTATTCCAAGGGACTCCAATTTAAATAAACAAAAAATGCTTTTACCCTCATGGCATGGTTGTGTCAATGATCCATCCACCCATCCCCAAAACCTGTTTAATATTTTTCTCTAGATGCATTAAAGTGTTTACATGTAGTGAATCTGACTCTGAGACTACTACTAGCACTGCAGTCATTTAAAGCTCATTTCTTTTATTCTTAATTTGCACTGAAACATGGTAACACACAGTGTGTGTACTGTACATTGCTATGGACTGACCTCTAGTTTACTAGCGGACAGAAATGCAGTGAGTTTGCACAACAGAGTGAAAAATCCCAACAGAAGGTGTTTGGGTTGGACTCCTATCACCTTCTCCTCAGTGATGATCCTGAAAAGCCTGTAAGAAACTAAAGATGCAGCTGCTCTCTCATCTTTTTCCATGACTCAAAGTGTCTGTCATTGAATCCAAGCTCAGTCGAGGCAGTTACTGTATGTGTTTAAAGTGCTTCCTTAAATATACTGAGTGCCCAAAGCCGTACAATCGTAAAGTCCAGATCTGCTCACCTTAAACTCCAGTTCCATAGCTGTCACCGCCTCTCCAGCGGGCACCTGGGTGAGCTTCTGGATGTGGGCGTACAGGTTGCGGGCAGGGACTTCTGTGTTGCCACAGACTGCAGCTTCCAGCAGGGCCTCATGGACGAATATGTACTGATCCTCTGTCTGCACCATGTAGTTCCTTTGAGCTCGCATGCACGTCACATGACCGTATATGTCCACCGACTTCTCGTGTTTCATCCTCTCCAACATGGCGTCAATCACAATAAAGCAGCCCGTCCGGCCCACACCGGCACTGACGGGAGCACAGAGAGGAAACACAGGCGTCAGACCAGAGATCCCTGAGCGCTTCACATCTTTCCCCTGACCACTGTGGCATTTCCACGGGCCGGGAACAGCATCGAAATCCTCATGAATACCAGTCCAAACCAGTTACAAATGGGTCCTCGTGCCTCCATAAAGATTCACTGAGAGACGAGGCTGGCCTTTAACATTATGGAGGCAAGGAGGGGCTCATTGATTCCACTTTTATGTCATTGGTTGATCAGGGTGATTTCGTTTATATGCCTGCTTGCTCACAACGCTTACACATTCTGGATTTGTCTGTCATGGCGCACAGAGATTCACGATGGACCTTAGAGTCTCTACACCTCATTGAATATTGCTCGGCTTGGATAGGCTGCTTTGTCCTTCTGGAGACACAAGCATCAGTAAAATCTTCTTTTACAAGGCCGTTCTTGGTCTTTCTTATTGACCTACACATGAAGGAAATTATAGATGGTTATTGTCTTTGGTTCAAAGACTTATTCATGGCACCTGCACTTAAAGCTCACATTAAATTATAAAAAAGGCCATTTTAACTGATCTGGAGGCAGATCGTTAAAGTTGCCTAAACTAGTTATTCTGACACAGATCAGCTACGTTTCCTCAGTTTTGAACTTTACGATCATGCACTTTTTACTTGTTTCTTGTATTTTGCCGTGTTCATAATTCGTTTATGATACCACTGCTGAGCTTGGCCAGGACACTCTTGTAAAAGAGATTTTTAATTTTAACAGTAAAAAGGTAAATAAATGATGATATAAATTTAAAAACTGTGAGTTAATGGAGCTAACAAGCTGCAGTCCGATATGGAAACTTGTTTTATTCTATTGTGTGGCAGAAGTAAAGCGATTACTCTACAACCTTGATTTTAGTGAATGGACCAAACTGCTGTGAGCCATTTGAAGAACAGTCCATATCCAAAAATGTATTGTTTTGAACATATAAACAGGACAAGAGCTTTCAGAGTATATCATTGTATTATTTACCATTATTTGGTTCCATCTACAATGTTGTGCTGTGGACGACGAGGCCCACAGATTGCACCGTGAGCACTGCAGGATGTCAGGGTTACAGGATGACTGTGGGTTTTAAAGTGCAGCTCAGGACCTCTGCATACGTGCTCATGTACTTATTGTGTTATAAATAAAAATACCTGCAGTTTATATCTAACATCCCCTTATGGGAATATATGAATTCTGGATTTGTGCTGCAGAATTGGAAATGGAAAAGCCAGATACGGTTCTCTGACTTTATGGAAATGTAATATCTGTTCCATAAGGAAGAAATATATTTGCTTTTTGAGTCTAAATTTGTACAGTATAAGCAGACCAGTCATTTGAGATGCAGAAAAAAGAAGAAAAATCTATTTCCTGCTCGCCTTAGAACAGTTTCCATCCTTAATGTTAATAAATGGGTATTTTTTTTAATCACTGTTATTTAATTATAAATTGTTAGTTAACAAAATTAACAAACATAATAATGTGAGTAGTTATTAACTTGTTTGTAGAACATTACTGTAAAACTGCATCTGATTATTAAAATGATAAAAAAGCAGTTTCTGTATTTTTTAATTTTATTGACTGTTAAATACAAAATAATGAAAGTTCCTGAACAGCTAATATAAGGTGAGAGTGCAAAATGAAACCATACATTTTAAGATTGTACCTTTTATGTTGTAACTGGTGTTTTATGCAGGTTGATAAAAAACGGAGGAAACAAACATCCAAAAGCTGCCGCGGCACATGGGAGTCCCTGATGACAGCTATATGTCACTTCCTGTTTCTACACGACCTTCAGCAGTGTCCGTTTTGAATTTTAAGCTGACTTTGAAAGGAGGAGGAGAATGAAATCACGAGGGAACAGTTCGTTCATGCGTTCAGCATGTCGTGACATTAACCGAACCTTCGCTGAGGGCAGACTAATGAAGAAGAACGAGTTCTGCTGGCCAAGAGCCGCATAAAAGCGGAAACATTTCCAGGACAAAGAAAAGCGTATAAACGATATTATTATTATTTTCCTCCCAATGCAGCAGATGGCCCCGCCCCTCCCTGACGCCGGTCCTGCCACAGGCTTCTTCCTGTGAAACGGGAGTTTCTCCTTCCCACTGTTGCCAAGTGCTTGCTCACAGGGAATCATCTGATTGTCAGGCTTTTCTCTGCATTATTGTTACATGAAGCACCTTTAGGCAGCCGTTGTTCTGATTTGGTGCCATATAAATCTGGTGGAGAAGTATAGATGTTAGAGTCTGTGTGTTTTGCTGGTGTCTGAGTCCTTACTTTGCAGGCTTAGCCTTGTGTTTGGGGCTTTCTGTATTTTAGTATTCATAGTTTGGACTCTGATACTCACGGACTGGCTTCTTTTGTTTGTTTGTGATTTTGGTTTATTCCATTCTTATCACCCTCAGTGTTTCCTCACTGTATGTTATGTTGTAGTGTGATGTTTGTTTATTTAATAGTCCTTCTTTTGGCTATTTATTTATTTTGTCTTTCTGATAGTTTTACTTCTCCTGTACTGTGTTCAATTATCCATGATTATCTCATGTGTAAATCTATAATCAAGCCCTCCCCCTTTATCCATGTCTTAGCATTTATCTACCCTCCCTGTGTGGCTTGTTGGTGTATTTCGTCTTTCCCCAGTGGACTTACTATTTTTGGTTCTGTGCATTAACCTAATAAATGTGTTTTTCTGTTTTACCCCTACCTGCTTCTGAGTCCTGCATTTGGGTCCCTTTTCCTGCACTATATGACAGCAGAAACAGGAAGTGACATCCATCCAGCATAAGGGACTCTGTTCCCTCCATTTAAAGACAAATAAACGACATTTTTTGTAACGTGAAATAATGCGTTGTTGGCGATTCTTTTGTAACAGGAAGGCTGTACAGTATTCTGATTTACAGAATCAAATACATTTCTGTTCATTTGACCAACTTAACTCATTCTTGTAAACAGATCAATGGATTTCAATTATAAACCATGTTGTATGTGAACACATGAGACCATGATGAACAACACACTGCCACATTAGGGCGTAGAGTAAAATATGCACATTAGTTGTTGTTCTCCAGTTTCCTCCGTTTGCTTTGCTTTTTCTTTATTACAGGTTGGAGACTAAATGCAGTATGAGCTTTAGATACTGAAGTATTTCAGTGCTACACTTTGAAATCACTGATCCCACTTCTTCACAGAAGAAGTGGTGTGAAGGTCCTTCAGACAGCAGGGAGGGAGCACGCTGCCTACAGAAAACTGGACTGGCTTTTCAGATCCTTGCCCCTGTTGTTCCTTTGATAAGTCTGGTTTAAAGCTCCCCAGATCAGCTGGGTTGGTAAACATGAGTGTGCTGTGTGCAGCGTACGAAAACACTTTGAAGGATTTCTGTTTTCTTTCGGCACAACATATTTTCTTTGATGGGTTAGCTGTGAGGAACGTTCAGCACTTAAAGCAAAGTATTTAAACAGAATCGCTGCTCTTGGCTTAAAGGTGTTAGTATGCTTTGAACAAACTAGGTTGCGACTTATTGTCCAAGCATGTCTAAAGGCAGATTAATGTTTACACTGGAAATTGGGGTGAAAAGGCTTCTGTGAGAGCTTCCTCCAGGCTGCATCTCTGTCTGCCTGATTCACCTCTAGCACTCTGGTGTATTTGCATTTGTGTTCATAGAGAAATAAATTGCACAAATGCAAATGTCAGGCACGGACGTACCAACAGTGTTTAAAACTCACTTTTATCTTCGTTCTAAAATGATTGCGCCGTAGCTGTGAAAAAGGTTCAGCTGGTTTTGTAACAAGATCAACGTTAGCCTGAGACGAAGTTAAAAAAATATTAGAAATTTAGGATAATATCTGACTTCAGCTACAACGTTCTCACACAAGACTTGAATAAATATATGAATGAATTACTAAACAATTCAGATCAACAGATGGAGACAGAAAACAGGCAAAGCAAATAAGTATATTAAATCAATATCACACAGAGTAGCTGTGAAAACCTTGCAAGATGCAAGAGCGTGCATGTCCCTTAAAGGGGGCTGGTTACTGGTTTGAGAGTTGCATACACGAAGATGGTTTCCAGCAATGTCACATGATCTGAAACAATAGTTTTTGAGCATGCTGCAGTATTTGTGTTAATGTAAGATAAGGTCTACCTGCAGTGAACCACCATGGGTCCGGCATCTTGAGGATTGCAGGACTTGATTCTGCGTAGAAAGGCCAGTGTTGGGGTCGGATACTCAGGCACTCCATGGTCCGGCCAAGCCAGAAACTGGAACTGTCGAACTTCTCTTTTTTCACTGGAGCCATTCTGTTGACACATTTACTCAAGTTTGTCACTCATAAAAACAGACCCCAACACACTAATGTGAGTATGAGGCTAAAAGATTCACTGGCGTAAATTCAATTATCTGAATGATTAATGCAAGAACTTCTTATTATTTGTGCATCACAAATGCACTCTGAGCTGCACTCAGAAGCACACAAAGTGTCCTTGGTGTATGATGACGTTTTGATAGCTTTATCAGTGACAAACATAATAACAGGCACAACACATTTTTTCCCCCAATTCAGGCACCAAGGCCACAATCTGCTTAGACCAGGGGTGTCCAAGCCCGCGGTCCATTTTTAATTGGCCTGCAAGTAATCTCATAAATAGAATAGCCGCACTTGAGTGTATTGCACTTCTTAGTTTTAACACCAGGGGGAGCTACTGTTGATCAAGGCAGTTGCTCCACCAAAAAGGACATCACAGAAGAAATTTACCCCCAAGTTACTAAACATGACAGAACCAAAGAAGCGAAAGGTAGAAAGTGAGTGCAGAACATTTCAGACACGGTGGGAGAGTGAAGATTTCTTCAAAGAACTCAAGGGGAAGCGTGTCTGTTTGATCTGCACTGAAACTGTGGCAGTTATGAAAGAGGATAATGTACGACGTCATTATGAAACCAAACATCAGGCCTGTGCATCCGACACTGGTGCTGAGCCAGAGCAGAAAGTAACTCTCCCACAGGGTCAGCAGCAGTATTTATTTCATGCTCAAATTGTCCAGGAAAAGGCTCCAATAGCGAGCTATGAGGTCGCCCAACTCATCGCGAGACATGGCGAGCCTTTTTCAGATGGAGACCTCATAAAACACGGCCTCGTTAAAGTCACCGAAATAACGTGCCCGGAAAAAGTGCAGAACTTCAACAACGTCCAGAAATCCAGTCGTGCGACTCACTGAAGACTCGTCAGCCAACATTAAACTGCAACTTTCTGATAAAGCTGTGCTTTTGATTTTTACTCCATCGCAAGCGATGAGAGCACCGATGCTCAGACGCCGCACAGCTGCTAATTTTTTGCGGGGAGTGGACGAGAGCACGAGCGCTTTAAAAATATATTCCACAGTACTCGTGTGTTAATAAGCATGCATGTGCAGGTACACATGCTTCAAATATCAATGATGCGCATCAATTCTGTCACTACCCTGCTTTTGCACCACTTTCTTATCTGCATTTTTCTTGTTAACACACAGAGTAATACAGTAAAGTTAAGGTTATATACCTAATTTCTAGTAAGTGGCCCCGCCCCTCCTATATTTTTATGTATGTGGCCCTCAGTGAAAAAGGTTTGGACACCCCTGGCTTAGACTCTTAAGTACTTTCTAGACAAGAAAGAATATTTTCTATCCTTTTAAAGCTGCGGAAGCCTTAATCAGCACGGAGTGCTGCAGGGATGACCTTTTTTGTAGGCCAACCCAGAAGGTAGCATGTCTTTAGCATCCCAATGACTCCTTTGTCAGTTCCTTATAAAAAAGTATGTGGCTTTTGGATTATCAGAGAAAAAAGGTTCTGTGGGAAACACTAGTTTATAATACTTGCACACTGGTGAGCAGAATTAGGTCCATGAGCTAAAGACATTTTGTGATTTGCAATTGCGAGAGTTCAGCAATCTGTTTGTTAAGTGATTAAATTATGATCCTGTTTCCATTTTTCCTCGGATGTATGAAGCAGTCTCAGATCATTTTACTGAAATTGAAAGAATTTGGACTTGTTTTCGTTCTTTGTTATGCTTCAGTTTTTATTTGCTTTTGAACAATGAAGGATCTGGAAACGACTGATGAAGCGAAACTTAACAAGCGGATAAAAAATGACTCTCCTTTGTTTTCTGAAAGTAAACTGAATATACAGGGTGAAAAATACAGATACTTAGTTTATTACTATTGGTGTTTAATTTTTCTACGTATTTTTTATATGTCTGGGTCTACTGTTAGTGAAAAATAGTGACTGATGTGATTTAACCTCCACCAGGCGGTTGCCAAACTGCGTAGCATAAATTTAGAGATAGCATACAGCTTAACTGTAACCCAACGAAGCTTAATCTCAACAACAGAAGATTCTAACTTTTAAGCAATTTTCAAACAGTCCAGTGGACTAAGATGTGACGCTGGCTTCCAGCCATACCACCCTGAGCACACCCAGTCTTGTCTGAGCTTGGAAGCTAAGCTGCGTTGGTCCTGGTTAGTGTTTGGATGGGAGGTCGCTTGTGCAGCTGTGGGCTCAGTAGACAGAACTGGTCGTCTACTAATTGGAAAGTCAGAGGTTTGATCCCTGATCTGCAAGTCAAAGTATCCTTGGACCAGATACTGAACCCTGAGTTGCTCCTGGTGATCTGTGTAACTAAACGAATCAACAGCAACATGGTGGTCTTACCTTATAGAGGGCAAACGTTCTCACACTGTACGTAGCCAGCTCCAGCGTGTCCAACATGGTCACTTGAATCATCCCGTACGTCTCCGTGCCTCGACTGGGCCAATACTGGTCACATTTCACCTACAAACAGAGACAACGTAAAGGACTATTTAGCTCTACAACCAGTGGTGTTGGAAGTGGAGTAGGTGTTGATAGAGAGATTGGTTGGTGCAGTATCTGCAGTGATGTGACTGCTGTGCTGGACTCAGCTGGTGAAAAGAGAGAGCTGGAGATGACCTTACCTTTGGCCTCAAGCTGTAGACAGTGACTGAAAGAACAGGATCATATATGCACATGACTGAAACAAGCACCTTTCTAACGGTGTCTGGTCTCAGGTAATACCTTGGTATCCCTCTGGAAGAGCTGAAAGAGGGGGCTGGGGAGAGGGAGGTCTGGGCATCTCTTCTGAGATTGCTGGCCTGTGACCTGGACACCTGAAATGTGGCCCTTATTTGCAGTGTTTTTGGCCACCGTTGGTCTAAACGAATGGTATTGACTCAGGGTAAGTTTGGCTTCCTCAACTACGTTCCACTGTAGACGGTGGAACTTGTGGTATTTGGGGCACAGCACATTTACCAGGGCTATATCAAAGCTAAAAGTACCATAAGTAGTCTAGATTAGGCCCTGACGTACATGCCATTGGGATACCTTTTTTAACACATGAACTACCGGCAATATCAGGAGAGTTGGGTCGGGTGAAAGCCAGATTTGTTTTTTCCTACACATCAGGAAACAGCCCGGTGTGATGGATATTTAGATTCTCTAATGTTCCTCCATCAGATAATCACGAAAAAGCTCAGGGCTGTGATGCCTGTGTGGAAACAGCTTCTACAGAAAGTAGTAAAATAAGTCCTTATGCATGCTACATGTAAGGATGGAGAACTCAACAATGCTCTCACCTGATTCTCCTGATATATTCATTCCTATATGAAAATGGATTTGGAAAAGGACTCCGTGATTACATTACACAAGATTAGACCATAATCATAATCTTAGACCCTCACAACCCCAAGCTTGCAGGATGATTTACTTCACATGGCCCCCAAATGATTATTGCCAAGGAAGCTGCATGTAATAACTAATAAGAGAAACTTGTTGGTGTGTCTAATGGCAGCCTCTGATTTTATAGTCTGTAAATAATGGCAGGATGTGTTCATTTGATTGTGGGCCATGCACATTAGCAGGAAGTGTGGACAGACAGGTTGTCACCTCTGCTCTCAGGTTAGAGAGCATCTAATATTTGCTGCGCCTCTGGTTGAACCACAGAGGCTGTTATTGGCTCTGGCAGAGGGCTGATGGCCACTGTCACAAATAGTAATGGCACAGTGCTGTGGCACTCAGCTCTGCCCTGTGGTTGTGGAGTTATTAACAGTGAGAATGAGGGTTTCACATCATTACTCACATGAACGCCGTTTCTACCCTGCTACCTGCCATGTGATTCCACAGGCGGCGTGCTGCTGCTGAGCCAAGCTCATCAGTACTGCGAGTGAGCTACGTTCAGAGCAGTAAATCAGAGGATCGACAATCCTCTTCCAGCCTCCTGTCTTATATTCTCCTGTTTGTAATGTATTTTCCATTGTGAGAGAATCAATGAATTTCATCCAGACAGCAATGGAGCAAAATATTAGAAAATATATCAACTGTGCTCTGATATTCTTAAATTATGGGTTGCAGCAAGCCACCACCTCTCTCCCTCCATCAGCTGGGATGATGCGTTTTTGTATGACTACAACATATTGTGTCAAAATCAATAACGCCTCTTTGAAATTTTCATCAAACCCAAAAACCACTTTATTTGTAAGACATTTTGCTCTACATAAAAGACAGGTTCACCTCCACTGCACCTGCACGCTAGCACGATAGTTAACAGGCAATGGAAGTAAAAATGAACATCAATGCTGAAGGAGAGGAGGAAGACCGAGTGCTTCGTTACTGAGTTTAAAGTGAGGCCCAATGTGTGTCACTTTGTATCCACATACCAGCAGAGATACGGAGCTGTGGATGTGAAACGTCCTTGAACTGAAAAGAGGCATACAGCTATAGCACAATATGTTTCTTCAAGCCAAATCTCAAAGTGATGGAGCTCAAAAAGGAGCAACACAAATAACTGACCAGGGATTTTTAGTTTTTTTGCAACTGATGCTCTTTTTGGGGGTCGCTTCGTGTCAGAAGTTTGTATGGTACACATAAACTTGATGGTTGAAGACTTTTTTGCAGTAGCAGAACATTGCACTGATAAGCACTCCTGCCTCACAGGAAGAAAGTTCCTGAAGGTGCTGCTGTGCAGATTTCCTCTGCCCGCTTCCTCACACAGTCCACAGATATGGTGTCAGGCTCATTGGTGATTCTTAATAGGTCACATGCAAGAGTCTATGCTTGTCTGTCTTTCTGCATTAGTCATGTGATGGGGACTATCAGCTTGCCCAGAGTGTATTTCACCTGAACAGCCAGGATAGCCTCCAGGAGATATGGTCCATGTGAGCCTAAGCTTGATAATTAGGAAAGTGAATAGATGGATGCCAGAGGACTAAAGCAGTCCTTGGTTCACACACAGTCACTTACGTGTCAGGCAACTTTGTGCAGTTTGTAGTTTTCTAAATTCAACTGGACATATTCCTTTAACTTTAACTGGCAAAAACTTCATGAAGTTCTTCATAAATAAAACTGCAGCTATTAGTGAAAAAACATTTACAGCTGTCAAGTACAGCAACTGTAATAACTCCTGATATTTACTTATATTATAACGTTAAAGATTTCTTCCTCTAAACCATCAATGTGGCTTTCAGACCCCCATTCCTAGAAGACCGCCCAAAGAAGCTTCCCCATTAATTATAGTTTTTAAATATGATGAATCTATTGCTTAATGGGCTACAGTCCACGGGCTTTTAAGGTGCTGCTAATTAAACCGTTACTTTATAAAAGCCTTTACTTGACTCAGCTGTGTAAGCTAACCACAGACCAATTTATAACCTTCCTTTTATTTCAAACATTTTTGAAAACGTAGCTGACAAACACCGAACTGATCAGCTGCAGACAAATGTTTGAGTCCGATTCAGAATTCATCTCAGCACAGAAACAGCATGAATGAAGGTTACAAATGATCTTCTTTTGAGAGTCTTCTTCATATACTTTATTTTTGTAATTATGTACCGAACCACATATTTAGTATACATGGAATCACAGGGTTATGTGCTGGGACCAGGTCCACTTACATTATACATGCTCCCAGTCTGGATTTGGGAGACAGCCTCTCTACATTTAAGATCAGGCTTAAAACTTTTCTTTTTAGATAAAGTTTATAGTTAGGACTGGATCACATGACTCTGCATGCTCTCTTAGTTGTGCTGCAGTGGGTCTAGGCTGCTAGTGTTCTGTTATTGTTTATTGTTCTCTGTCTGCATTAGAGCTGCAAGTCTGCAAACATACACAGCCAAAGTGCACAGGACAAGCAGAGCGTCCCTGCATGTTAGACAGAGGTGTGTTTAGTGTTTATTATGCGTTTTTGATTGGAACTGCTGTAAAACAGACAGAAAACAACGTTTTATTTCCATTAACACCAGCCTCTCTCCTTACTCGCTGTCTAGCCTGCTGAACCTCAGCCACTGTCTGTCTCTTATCCACCACTCCAGATTTGAAATTTGACATCTTTCCCACTTTTTGTGCTTCTATTCATCTGGTTTTGTCTAGGTCGCTTGGTTTTGAGGTTGTTCAGGTTGTTCTGGTTTCAGATGCCCCACGCAGGAGTTTCTCCCAGAGTATATAACTTCTTTAACCCCCAAAAAATAGCCCTGAAGGAAGTGCCAGAAAAAGCTTTATGTTTAGGTTCAGGCCATAAAAAACTGTCTGGTACTTCCTGCAAAATGAATGGAGCTCACCCGTGACTTCTCCTCCAGGCGAGTCATCATAACGATGGTGCATGTCCTCTGCTCCCATACCATCCTCCAGAAGTCACTTAGCGTCTCTGGCAGCGGACCCTGGGTAGCGATGTAAGCGTTCTGTTTCCTGTACCCGTCAATGTAGTTGGCATTTATATAGTCACTACCTGGAACTCCTTAAGCAAGAAGCACAGTTGGACATAATGAGCAAACAAAAACAAATGGCAGCAGATCAGAAAATGGAGGTCGACTACTGCCTGTTTCTCACCGTCCACGGGTGTGAGGATGACCCTGGAGTGGTCGTAAGCAATAACATTTGCATAACGGTTCTTTGGCTTGTTGACCTCCAGGTTGGAGTGCTCCCAGGTGAACTGCTGTCCTGGATCAATAGACTGGACACACAAGCGTTGGGAGTGAGAGGTGGGTGAGAGAGCATCTTTACTCTTCTTTGAGAGAAGAGTGCAGGCCGATATATGCGACATAAATTCATCATCCCTCCTTCAGCCTGCAGCTCCATCACCTGGTTGATCTTTAAGCCCCTGAATCCACATTCCACTCCTAAAATCTCATCCACCCACCCACCCACCCACCTACTGGCTCGGTGTGTGGTGAATCAAGGAAAGCACTGAGGTGAGGTTTAGGACAATGGCCTTAGACATGTCTTTTTCCTCATATGAGACTGAACGATGGGGACCACTTGCATCATATTTAAAGTGAAGAGATAAGGACCTGTGTTCGATTTTATTTCTCGGTACCAACAGTAAGGCAGAGGCAGGAAAGCAGGCAAACTCTAGTGAGATGGGGGTTGCTGTATTATATGAGCCGGCTGAAAAGCACCTGTGAGCAGAGGTAGAGACGCAGAGACTCACAGGAGAACAGCAAAACAAGTTAATGCTGAAGCCTAAATTATGCAAAAGTATAATGATCAGAGGCTCAGGAATGACTCATCAACTACTTAAGCTGCATAATTGAATTTGCTGAAATATGTAGTGCAGAGTCGCTGCTTCAGGTGATATTTCAAAGCTGAGCAGGATGAAGTCAGTGAGTAACTACATTATGTTTGCTACCCTGATATCAACCTTTAGCTACATCATCTTGTCGGAACAATTTCATTGGACAATTTACGTATAGATTTGAAACAGTAGTTGAATGCATGGTTGGGCCAACAGAAAATATCATGTCAAAAGGAAATTATTGGATTACTAAGTGATGTTTATTGAGTCGAACCAGGTGCAAGAAAAAGGCACAAATACTTCCAGCAACACATAAGAAGGGCACTAGAGAGCAAGGTCACGCCACATGTGCTGTTTTAAAGAAGCTCTGCAGAAAGTCACTGTTTTTAACGACTCCACTGAGCGGCTTTTTGTTTATGCAGTCGCCCAACAAAGGAAAGAACCTCAGTTTAATGTGGGAGGAAACACAAATCAAATGAACAAAGTTCATTTTGACCTGATGAAGAAACCAGTGTCAGCTTTATTTGTTTTTAAGTTGCTGCCTAATCACCCGGTTTGGCTATTAGTTGGGGTTCAGTGACTTTGACAGGCGGACTTGAGGAACCTGCCAGTCTTTCAATTAGCGTGCGAGCCGTTCTGCCTCCTTTACCTCTGCTGCACTCGTGAGCTGATATGAACCAGGCAGGTTTACTGCCTGTTAACAGTCTCTATCGATTGCTGGCTGTGAGCACAGGCACAGGTTTAACTGAAATGGCATTCTGCATACTGTTATTCTTGATTGATCTTTTATGCTCCAACTGCTTATCTCCCATCACCTGGAAAAAAAGAAATCTCACACACACACTTGTAAATAAACACACAGATACTGATGCACGGGAAAAATGAATCGGTGGCGAGGGCTCTAATATCCTGCTGCTTTTTCTCTTTCTGACTGGCTGCATAGCTGCTCAGCGCTGCGCTCTACAACTGATAATAATGACAATGGGGAAACAGGTTGAAAGCACATCTTATTTAACAGCCTGTTAGGTAAGGCTTCCAGTACACTGCACTGACAAACCACTCACATTACTGCTAATGTCCTCCGCCTACATGTAGATCAGTTACTGCGATGACAGCGTAATCACTATCTGCGCTTCTACAAACAAAAAAAACAAAGCAGGTAAACACAGAGAGAGGAACAGGCCTCTGTGAAGCACATGCATGTGACAGGGTTAGCTCACACTCAGTGTGTGCAGATTTAGTGGACTGCAATTTATAACTGATTTACCTTTAATACACTAAATCCCCCCAAACGGCACAGGCACACATTGCATCTATTTTATTTCACACTGTTGTTCAAACATACATAAATGTGTTCTTTGTTCACATCTTCTACAACCAGGGTTTTCCAAGTACACCTTGTTTGCTAATTGCAGCCCTCAGCGATGTTTTGTGCAGCTTACAGCTGAATGGAAAAAGAAACTACTATGAATGTCATTCAGTCAGAGTTAAAGTCACATAAATTCATGATTACGAATGAGTACATTTCAAACAATCTAACCTCGGTAGAGGTTTAAACACTATCTATGTACAGGAAAACTGGTATTGGCAACATAAACCATCAAACATTAGCCACAAGTAACACTTACAAAAACCAAATTCCAAATCTAAAGTGATTAGACTGACCAAAGACATTATGGGAGATATGGACAAAACAGCCAAGATTACTACGGGAGTTTTACGCTCCTCCTGCAGGCATGCATTTGGTTAGAGTGTTGATGTCGCCTGTGTTTTTGGTACTGTATATATCATGTTTAACCTGAGTAGCGAAAGACAGCAGTGGGTTTGAAAACGATCTGCCGGGAGTCCGGTGTTCTCACGGCGCTAGTGAGCCTAGCCCCCGGCTAGCTATCGAGCTAGTGGGTAACAGACGTCTCCGAAAACGTTGGAGCGCTTTTGAAAATATGCGGTGTCTTGATAAACTGAGCAGATATTTGAGGTTTACACAGCTACATTCTCGCCTGAAAATATGTTAAACATTTATTTTGTGACCCAGAAAGAATAATAAGATTAATATTAAAACTAACTAGCTGCCGCCATTGTTGGAAACTGAGCAGTGTCACTACCCGATCCGTACCCCGCATGCGCAAATCTTACGTTACTTCCCGTCTTTGCCAACATTGCGACATTCAATATATTTGAATGATACGGTTAGCGCCCAGTTAGCTCCTAGCATTTCTCAACAGCTCTGCCTCCTTTTCGACTGCCCGGGACATTTAAACAATGGATAATCTGTATACAAAGAAATTCATGCTTTTCTCCTCAACAGAGAGCGTCCCCCGATTGAGCAACAGCGCCGTAAAATAAGAAGAATGGCGCCTAATTACAGAGTTAATAATACAGACTTTGTAATATCTCACGTGTAGATTCATCAGCCAGATGAAGTGTTTACTGACAATTGACAGTGATAGCGCACATCATCATCACTATTCCAACAATCCTCTCCTCACAGACAACCATAAACACACTCGACTATCGCTAAATCAGATTTAACACACGTTTGTAATGACGCTAATTCAGTTTACAATAGGGTTTATTCGCTCGGTCAGCAGGTGGCGGTATCCTCGTACACTGGGGAGTAAACTGCCATTAAACGAACAGAAGAAGAAGAAACCATCTGCACATGCGCGGTACGGATCGGGTAGACCCGATTTGTACGGTCAGACTTTACACATGCGCAGTAAGGATCGGAGAGTCCTGATCCGTAACTTTCTTTTTATTTTTCGTTTTTGTCTACATTGTACTGAAATGCTTCATTATTGCAAACATTTTAAGATATACTTGTTATTCTTAACATCTTAACAGATACTCTGACCCATAACTATCGTAAAACGCTACGACCGGAAGTAGAGACCTTTCACGCATGCGGGGTACCGATCGGGTTTCCGGTACGGATCGGGTAGTGACAAGCAGGGCCGCGCTATGAATTCTGGGACACAGCTTCCTCTTCGGGGTTTAACGGCAGCTGGCATCCTTGTACATGCAGTGCTGCCATCTTCTGTTCCAGTCCGTTATTACACTCTTAAATCCTGCTACTTATTCCTGCGTCTTTTGTGATCTTACAAAGCTTCAAACGACGCGTCGACTATTAAATCAGTCGTCGACGATTTTGATAGTCGACGTAATCGTGGCAGCCCTGATGTAAACACAGCTTCATTAATAACACCTCAGCTGTAGTTAAGTGTAGATTATCTTGAGTGCACACACACAGCATTGCAGAGGTTACACATTCCTGCTCAGTAGGCAGCTGGTGTTGGTTTTGGTTTGTTTCTTTTGGTTCATCTTTGAACAAAGTTTCAAACCCCCCCACTGTCACCACCCCGCCTGCTGTGCAGGCAGCAGAAGCCAGAAAATGAAATAAAAAAGAAACAGTGACAGTCACACTGCAGCACAGGCATCAGTACTTGTGATTGACTGGAAGTTCAGCAAAAATATTTTAGATAACATCATCAACAGACACATCAGTTTTTAATATATGATTAGTTCCCAGATGATTTACTGACAGTGGCATAAAACATCTCCTCATGTGTTATGTTTTCTGTGCAAGTGACCCGAGATAGTTCTAATGCACTCTGAGCAGCTGCCCATCCTAAAAATTCATTTTAATAATTGACACAGCAGAAAAACACAGACGTGCTTTAATGCTGACTGTGTTGCACCTATGGGAGGCCCGCTGTGGTACACACAGGTTCACTGCCATGCTTTACTGAGACATTTAAAGGGACTCAAATGAAATTCGTTTCGCCTGGTGTTTGTGAGGTGGAAAAGGCCTGGAGCAGCAGCGTGGGCAGTTTTCATGGCAGTGCTGAGGGCAGCAGATATGAAACAGATCTTTCAACAGAGCTGTGTTAGGCTGCCTTTCCCTTTCAGTCACATGCTGTTCTACTGGTTCCAGTTTCAAATAATGAGGTCAATCTATGTGAAAATAATTAATGCCTTTAAGCCAGAAGCTCAGGGTTCAGACTGAAATGAGTTTTCTACTCTTTGATCTGCACAATGTTATAAAAGATATTCCCGTGTCATCTATTAGTCCCTGGATTTTTCAGTCTGCATATTGTCCTTGAGGATGAATCCCAAATTGTCTGGACGAATAGACCGCACCCATCAGGGTGGGTGCGGTCTATTCGTCCCAGGCACACAGTTCTAGCTGTCAGCACAGAAGCCCCGCCTGTAATCCTTTCAAAACTTCTTTTTTATAAGGGACAACCAATCAGAAGACATTTCATTCAGAGGGAGGGGGGCTGTCTTGTTTTGGGCAGTGAACAAACTAACAGCGACTGTGACTCATACTACTCTAGAAGAGTCCACGAATAAAAATGTTGAGGTTGAGTTAGAAATGATCATATTAGAAATCCTGTAAGGAGTCCTGAGCATCAGCCCAAAATAAGTTTTACTTGTGC